GAAAACTATGAATAACTAAATCAACTAGTTTTAAAAAGTACATTTGTTCTATTAGCTCCCAAAACGTATCGAAATGTTTATACTATCAAAAAAATACAGTTATTCAAATGTTTATATAAGTGTATTATGTTCCGATTCTACTCTCCGCATAACATGACTAAACCATGTAAGTCTATTTTCTCTCATCTTATCCACGATTGACACTACACCTATACTTCCTCTTATATGCTCGTTCCTTATCCTATCTTCTCTAGTCACTCATCTCATCTATCTAAGAATTCTCATCTCTGCTCTACTTTCTTATCAACCTTCCAACACTCTGAACCATACATCATAGATGGTCTCACTATAGTCTTGTAGAATTTACCTTTTAGTCTCATTGGAATTCTTTTATCGCATATGATGCCAGACGCTTCTGTCCACTTGATCCACCTTTATTTTCCTGTGTCTACATCCTCGTCAATATCACCACTCTTTTGCACAACTGACTCTAAATACTTAAAACTCTCCATCTCTCCAATAACGTCTTCGCATATTGTCACTGACCTACTCATTTCACCTACCTCGTGTTCTCCTTTGTCAAACTCATACTCTATATACTCTGTCTTACTTCTAATTATTCTTAAACCCTTTTCTTCAAGAGCTGATCTCCACACCTCTAGCCTTTGGTTAATTTCCTCCCTATTTTCTCCTATTACCACTATATTGTCAACAAACAACTCTTACCCGAAAACCTTCTGATACTCCTCCTACGCTTTTTACCCTGGTACAAGTGCCATCATACATATCTTCTATTATATTAATGTACCTTTTTGGGACTCCTTTTTTCATCAATGCCCACTTTAAAACCTCTCTCGGCACTCTATCATACGCTTTCTCCAAATTTTATTTTAATATCATACACAGTTTTTTCTTCTTTTCCCTTAACTTTTCTATTAGTTGCCTCACACAAAATACTGGCTCCATTGTTGACTTACCAGGCATAAATCCAAACTGGTTTTTAGATACCGATGTCTCATTTTTTATTCTCTTATCTATTACCTTTTCCCAAATTTTCATACTATGACTCATAAGCTTTATGCCTCTATAATTTGCACACTCCTGTATGTCTCCTTTACCTTTAAGTATCGGCACTACAATACAATTCCTCCATTCATTTGGTATTTTCCCTTCAAATAAGATTTTATAAATATAAATTTATCATACTGAAGCAAGATTACAGTATAAGAGATTGTATTGTAAATCTCTCTAAAAATTGATTACTTGTGGCTAATGATTTAAAATTAAAATTATATTAAAAAATATTAATTTTTAACTAAAAATAAATATAAAAATATTTAATTCAATGAGCCACAAAAAACAACTAAAAAATCACGAAAATCACTAAAAAATCGAGAACAATAATACCATTTTCAACGCTAAAGAAATACAGTATGTGTTTAGCGTTTGATAGAATTTTAATTTTAAACATATTTAAAATTAGTTATAAATAATTATAATATATAAGTTATTATCTAACTAATAATTATTAGCTAGATAAACCTAATATAAAAAACGATAAATTTGTCGGTTTTTTTTATAAAAATGCGATTTTGTTACCAGAATTCTATGGTTCAGTATTATGTCTTTGGTACTGTACTTCTGCGGAGCAGAAATAATCGTTTTATTTAATAATTGGAAGAGTAACAATATGGTTTTAACGTTAGAAGATCTTAAGTATAATGTTTGGGACATTCCGTTTCCAGCTATTACATTTTGTAGTGATATTCAGCTACAAAATCTTGATTATAAACTTATTATGGATGAAGTTTCTAAGAGGTATATATATTTTTTTCATTTTTTTATAAAAAGCATACATTTGAAAATCAATTTTCAGTGAGTTCAAAGATTCAATGAACACGATATGTAACGACTATTATAGTGTAAATAAAAATATATCGTTAAAATCTATAAAACCAAAACATTGGAAAAAAATTCTTCAAGTGAGAAAAAATGAATAGAATCTCTAATTTTATACTCTTTTTAAGAATTCTAAAAGTACTTGTGAAAGGAAAAATTTATTATTATTTTTTAAAAATTTTCCTTTTTCACTTACAAGTAAAATATAGCATTGCACAATTTGAACAAAATAATTGATATATTTTAGACAGATTATTTAACTACGTATAATCTTTTTCGACAATAATAATACAAATAACTATAAAAATCATAAGTTAATTATGTTAGTTGTTTTTATGACAGACAATTTTTACTTCATTTGTAACCATTTTTCAAAATGGAAAGCGCAGAAAAGTTATAATTATAACAAGAATTAAAGAGGACATCCTTTTTATTCTTTTATTTGCTTAATTTAAACCTAGTTAATATAAATTCATGATTAAATGTTATTCATTTGTCTTAAATGCATGGAATAATTGATAATTTAATATTCAGATTTTTAATTTATTTTTAAGAAATTTGCTGTGACATGTGATCAGCGAATAATTACTATGTACTGGCTAGGCGATGAAATACAATCCAGCTGTCAATATTTTCAACCAATTTTTACACAATATGGTCTTTGTTACTCGCTTAATATGATTCCTTTTCAGTTGCTATTTCATTCTAAATATTATGAAACGTAATTTTTAATTATTTATTTTAGTAATTATTTAATCATACAAATGTTACAGNAGTAATTATTTAATCATACAAATTTTATAATTATAATTATAATTTTATATTTTTAGATTATCGTTTCCAAACCACACTTTAGCTGACATTATTACAAAGAAAAAAGAAACTTCCTGGTCACCTGATAAAGGCTTCAGTAAAAATGCAATACCGTTCGATACTCCTTGGAGAGTTACAGGGGATACTAACAACGATGCAGTAAGATTGGTTTTCAATTTGAGAAATATTGAAGGTGACAATTATTGTCCTCATACTATGTCTGGTGTTATGGTTAGTCTGGGTTTATTTATCAATAATAAGTTTCATGTATTGGTTCATGAAAACTTTCTTTATTTTTAAGTTAAGTTTACACAATCCTTCCGATAAACCGTTATTATTTTATTCTATCTTATGAATATTGACTTCACTAACTACTCTTTTTCAGCTAATCCTCCATAAACCTTCAGATACACCTATTGGTTACCAACCGTCGGCGTATTTTATTAATGATCGCTTGCTTTCAGTATCACTGACAGTGTATTACAAACCTACATCTCAAGCAGTTTCTAAATGGTCACCCGAAACTCGAAATTGTTACTTTGAAAACGAAAGAAGTTTAAAATATTTTAAGATATATACAGCTCATAATTGTGAAATTGAATGCCGAGCTAATGCAACTTTGAGGAGATGTGGTTGTGCTGCATTTTATCAGCCAAGTTAGTTGATAAAACAATTTTGAATTAAACATTAAAAGAAGTTAAATCGGAGTATAGCTAAAGTATACATATTGTTTTTCTACAAAAATATTTCATGTCTTTTCTTTTGTTCATAATAAATTATTTAATAGCCGAGGTACTCCCTTCAGGAAAATTGAAAGTATCTTAATTATTATTAATTTAGGAGATCCCGAAGTCCCTATATGTGGCAGTCAGAATTATCGATGCTATAAATCATCTTTCAATAGTGGCAAGTTTATATTATTTAAACATAAAATAGATAATTACTATTAATTACTTGTATAAAATGTCTTAATATCATAGATTTTTCAATATTTCAAGAAGATTTAAGAGTACCAAATTCCAGTGATAAAGATTGTGGATGTTTACCGGATTGTTCATCATATAGTTACGATTACAATGTTGTCAAATTATTTAGAAATTGGAGTACTAGTTTCACAAATGTTGATCAGTAGGCATATAAATTAAAGTCATTTAAAATAACATAATTTTATAATACTACAATTATATCTTACTTCTAATTTTCATTGATAAACTTAAATAAATTTTCCTTTTGATATTTAAATACAAAAATTTTTATTTTCATAAGTTTAATTTTATGATTATTTTAAATTGTAATAATTTTTTGCTCCTAGTTTTCCAAAAGTAGCTGTTGCTAATTTATATTATAAACGAAAATCGATTTCGGTTACTCAGAGAAATGCTTTACTACCATTTAATGAGTTGCTCGGTAAGAATATATAAACATAATAAATTACTTGTTACATATTTTTTGTACTCAATTTTAGGTAATATTGGAGGACTACTCGGATTATTTTTAGGATGCAGTTTAATAAGTTTTTTTGAAATTATATATTTTTTTTTAATAAGATTATACTTTGATAAACGCAAACTTAAAAAGGACATTGAAAGTATAAATGTTTCACATGTTTCATTAAAATAGCACAGTGTGTTTTTAAAGTATATACGTAGTAAGATTTAAAGAGATATGTTATTAGATTTAGTAAAATTAGTTCCATACATAGCAAGTATAAACATTTATTATAGAATATCTCGATTAATTATGTAACTTTCAATAATATTTTACAAAAGTTTATAAAAATGAAAATTTTTAATGAAATCTGAATAAAATAAATGTTATAAAGTATATTATTGAGTAATAAGTAGTAATACATGTTTAATCGTGTATTTTTTTTTTAAATTAAGTGTTGAATTTATTGGGTCATACTTATTATGATCATTCTCTTACACAATGAGTTCTAGAGTCTCCAATTGCAAATATAATGCATTGCGTAGCACAACTAGATAGCTTATTGTTTTTTTATGACATTGCTGTCATAGTCAAGGGTTGTTTATTATTAATTATGACTATCAATAAATATCCTTTCTGTATTATCAGTTAGTGTATTTATAAATTCACAACAATGTGCCTACTACCATTTATAATAACAATGCTGTGTACCTTCTAATATCGATATCATAAAAAATCAATTAGCTGCCTGTATTTGTAATCTCTTGTGTATCATACATAAATATTAACTCAAAAATTAGAAACTTTTAATGTTTATATCTAATAAACAAATAAAGTTATACTAAAAATTCAAATGCCATTTTCTATTACATTAAAATCTCAAACATTTTATTAAATTCAAAATATGTGTTCCCATTATAAAAACTAAGTTGACACCCTTACTGGGTATAAGGTATGAAGTTTATAAAAATGTCAATTTTTAATGAAATCTGAATAAAATAAGTGTTACAAAGTAAATTACGGAACAATTAGTAATAAATGTTTAATCGTGAATTTTTTTTTAATAAAGGGGTGAATTTATTGGGTCACATTTATTATGTTTATTCTCTTATACATTATGTTCTACATCTTAATTTAATAGGTTTATATGTCATATCGTGTAACAAATTGATCAAACATCTCAATTATGATATGCGTTTAAGAAATTCTCGTTTATTAGAAAAGCTATAAATTAACTGTTCGTAAAATTAATACAATAGAAAAATAATATACACCATTTAAAAAGTATGCGTATCTGTTAAAAATACAATAATTTCTATATTTATAATTTTACATTAAAAAAAACTATCTTTTTACATAAATTACTATAAGATTGTACATCATTGAACAATGTGTTACCATCCTATCTACAATCGTGATTTATGTAACTTTGTGTCCGGTCTATTCTCATAAAATGTTATCTAAGTTAAAGATGGGAGAAATCGAATAGTTTCAGTAATTAAATGATTAGTAACCAAAAAAAATAATCGAATTACCGAATAGTCGAAATAAAAATAATAACTAATTTTATGTTGACTATTGAAAAACCAAATAATTTACGATTTACAATTTACATCGCTTATTTTACAAATTATGGAATATTGATATTAGTATGTATGTGAAATTTATATTAAAAAAAATACCACTATTTAAATAATCGAAACTTAAAACTATTACATGTAAATACTGAAGTACCAATTATAAACTAAGTAATATTAAAATTTAAATAATAAATGCATTTAATATAATTATTAACACATGCAGTGATTAAAGTGGGTAAAACTAGCGGGATTATAGTTCCTAAAAATTGAGGAGCGATCTCGAATTATCTCCCCTCAAAGGCTAAACATGATATTTATCATAATAGGCAAATATACTTAGTAAAAAAAAAATTATCTCTAGAAAGGAATTGATTAGTACCTACCTATATTTTTTATTATTTCATTAATAATCAATTAGAAATGAATATTTTACAAAACTTTACAAAGTCAGTATCAACATTATAATTTATTATGAAAATAAATGCAAAATAGTCTTTTTAAATTTTAAATATTATACTATAACAGAAACAAGCTGAGAAAAAAATATTAACAGTAGCCAATTTAGGTAGGTATGTACATATAAAAATATGACATAACAAATATAGTAATATAATTTATAAAGTATTCAACAAATTAAAAATATATCAACAACGATGGTAAGATCTATTGATAGAACAAATGTTTATATCACCTTAAATTTTTATTTCTATCACTTTGTAATCCCTAATATAATAAGTTGTTTAATTACATGTGTAGTCATAAATTAATTACATAATTTTTTAAGCTTACATTAAAGAATTAATTAATTCAACTATTGAATAATCCAAAAACAAATAAATGACGATAATTACGTCACGGTCGTTCATGGTCCAAGTACTTACATTACTACGATTGTATTATAAAATTTTTTTAATTTCATAATTTATTAAGTTATTCTCCAATTAATTTTTTTTGAACAACTGACTAGTCAAATACATTTTTTATATTAACGCATTCCACTCTTCAGTGTTCAAAATTAAAGCGTCACTCCAGCATATTTGGATTTAACTTAAAGGGGTTGCTAGATTATACTCCAAATAAGTTGGAGGACTCTGTCCCCCTCCGTCCACCCTCACTTTAACCACTGAACACATGTACTAAATGTTATAATAATATAATTATAAATATAATATTATATAATATTTTTATATGAATAAAGCAAAAACCATCTAAGAAATGTTTCTTTTTAAAAATAACCATTTATTACCAAATATTTTAAACCAGTTGCTTATAACTCATCAGTAACTTCCACGCTAAGGTTTCTATTACAAGTAACCAATCACAAATAATCATACATCTCAGGAATTTCACTAGAGTTCGCTGATTTAATTTGTCCAGGGTATAAAAAGGATATATATTTCTAAAAAGAGGGAATTTTTGGGGCTCTTGGTCAATATTCTCTTATATGGAATCTACGCCAGTATAATTTTATATTAATCGAAATAAACGCAAGATTTAATTTGATTGTTATCATTCAACTAAGAAATGAATAAAAGATTAATTTAAAAACTATGAAAGAAAATAAAGGCAAGTGCCAATACTTATTTGAATGTTTTACTCCTTAAAACTTGACATAATAAACAAAAAGAGAAGAGGTAATATGAGGATGACTTTATTTAGTCGTTTTGACATTACTATACACGAGACCTCCTTATATAATTAACCAACTATTCTATCTTCTTAATATTTAATACTTTTTCATTACAAACTATCCTACTCAACTTCCCTTCCTAATATTTTATTTTAGATTATTTCATGTGTCGTCGGACTAAAATTATTTCGTCCAAATTTGTCGCTTGACGAAATTGTGTATTATGTATAGACATTCATAACATTGACACTAAAATGTTTTTAATTTTTCTTATTAGTAATAAATAATAAAAATATGTTATAGTATAAGAAGGTGGGTCGCCCTGAAGTAATGCTTAACGGCAGTTCCAAGGCGGCCCACTGTAATGCCGGCCGTTAAAAAAAATAGTATAAGAAAGCAATAATTATCAAATATATATATATATAAACAAAATCATAATTGTATCAAAAGTTACAAGCTTTTTCAGTTAGGTCTGAAACATCTTTTATCTGAAAGTCAAAAAAAAGTTCAAAATAAATGTGTAAACAGTTCTAGTAAGAAAATAATAATTTTATTATTACAAAAGGATAAATTTTAAATAAAAATTACTTTAATTATATGTATATAAAAAGGTTAGGTCATCAGGTGTTAAACATAATAACATTTCCTTGAATTTAATATTCTTAGATAAGTAACTCAAGTAAGTAAGATATATCTATATTCCTTCCAGTAATATTTAATTAACCTTAAATAGTATTAAAACAGTATAATTAGAATTTCATTATCAAAAAGTCAACTAGATTAGTTATAGATATTTGACAAACTTATATGCATGAAATAAATATGTCTGAGAAAAATTATTATTCTTTTTTCAGGGTAAAATTCAGAAATATTCTTGTTTTTTGTTTATTAATAATTTCTTTAACGTGTCTATTCCCTCCCCTTTGCCTCAAATGAGTTTTTATTTTTTTGTTGATAATACAGGAACTTGAATACCCGCGAAAATTAAATTATTGATGAGCAAAAAATGCATAAATAAAAGAGGGGGGATGACTGAATCTACCCACGCCCCTCCACTTTAATCCTGGAAATCAGTCACTAAACATTGTATTAGTTATCACAAATAAATCCGTTTTTAATTTCATTTCACATCAATTAGGTTACATTGGGTTAGGCTGAACAATTTTTATTTTAAAATCTAAGTACAATAAGTATTAAAATATACAATGTTTAACATTTTATTAATCAAATTCTATGAAATTATTGATAAGATACTTTTGTACATGATAAACATACAATAATACATTAAATATTTATGTTAAAGAATATTCCACAATTTTTTCTTATACGAATCTATATCTTCATCTTTATTTTTATTTTTACTCACTTTTGATCTAATATTATCTGCTGATCTGTGTTGATTAACCAATAAATTTTTAATATAGAATTCTGGGTTCCAAAAAATAAGTGGGGGTCCATTGATATATATAAACATCAAATTAGAAATATTAGTTGTAGTTAATGTGGACCTAAGATCAGTGTAAATTAAATTTAAAACACTAAAACCTCGTTCGCATTCGACAGTCAAACAAGGAAAAGTTTTAAGACAATTATCTAACTCAAGAAAAATACCTCGAGGATTTTCATCTTCATCTATGTATAGTCTTAATACATTTATTGCATTGTTTTTGTTTAGCATGAAACGTTCGCATATCCTTTTAATTTCTGTTTCACCATATCTTATTCCTACTTTAACTGGCCAAGTACTTTTATCAATAATAGTAATATCTTTAATCAAATTTAAATCATTAATGTTTTCTAATAATATACTCCTTAAATTATTACAGATAATAGTAAGAAATTGATTTTTTCTGATTGGTAAGATCTTTGGATAATTTTTTAATTCAATATTTTTGAAAACCATATTATTATTTGCAATTTCTGCTTCTTTCATATGATCCCCAATATTATCTTTATATGATTCTAAAATTCGAATAGATTTCTTGATAGTTGAGTCTGCTTCTATGAGTGTTATTTTTTTCCCAATAGTACACTAGCTTCGTCGCTAACAAATAATATCCAATTATTCATTAAATATTCATTAAATCCAGAATTATGTAAGCAATCAATAAGATGAGTCACTATGTTTTCAAATGTTTGTTTTTTAAGTTCAACAAGAGCTAAAAATACAAAAATTGGATCTTCAGAAGAAATGGATGCTTTAATATATACAACCATATCAGATTTAGTACTTAACATAGTTGATTCATCTATCAAAACTGATAACTTTGATTTAGATTCAACAATATTGCACACTACTTTCTTTTTCATTTCAATTGCCCTATAAGATATTATAGAAGTAGATAAAAATCGTGAATGAAGTGTATTCCCTATATCAACACCATTAAGTTTCTGCAGTTCGAAAAGTTTAAAATGATCATTATTAGGTCTATTATATTTAGCAATATAATAAGCTGTCTGAAAAACTGATAGTGTAGATTTATGAAATTTATACGAAGTGTTTTGAAACTGTTTTATATAAAACAGTTTATTTATAACAATAAAATTTTAATTTGTCCGATTCCCTTTCAATTAATATATTTGTATCAAATTTATAAGCTGATGACGTTAAATGTTTTTTAATTTTATTTCGGAGAACAGAGAGTCTAATTATTTTATAATTACTAGTTCCTCCACTAACAAGAAAAAGAGACTACTCTAAAGATACTTTAATGCTGGTATTATTAGAATTTCGCATATTACTAAACTTTTGACAATTTAAACAGCCAATTTTATCATTTTGACAATTCATCCAAACATATTTATTTATTTTTTTATTGCCACTGTTCAAAGGTCCAATCGGCTGGACACAAAAATGTATTGATAATGTTAGCAGAACTTGATTCATTGACATCGGTATTGTTGGTTACTTTCTGTAAATATCATAAAATAATGTTTAATTATATTTTTCAAAAAATCTGATATATTTTTTAAATATTTTTACATAATTTTTTGTAAATAAATTTGTGAGATATCAATAGGAAAAAAAAACAAATTATTAGAAAACAAAAATTAACCATTTTGAACAATCATATTAAATCTAATGTATGGGTTAAACTATTAAATTTTAAGATTACCAAAAATCAATCATTAGCCAATATTTAAATAAATTTTTACTTATTTTACATATTTAACTGAGCTAAAATATACATTATTATTGCAAAGAAAAAACATACTTTTTGTTTTTAAATTTAAAAAAGTTTTTAATGCATCTCTATCAATTAAAATTTAGACACTTTAGATATTATAAAAATTTAAACAAATGAATTAATTATTACTTACATTTTTAGTATCTGTGACTTTATCATCAGCTGTGGTTTTAATTCTTTTGGTCACTATCGTAGAAAAAAAATAATTTGTAATTTTTTGTGAATTGTTTATTATATTCCATGTCGATATAATTTAATAAAATAATTTGCACAATCAAGTAGTGTAATAATACAATTAGGTATAAATGAATAGTTTAACCAAATATAAGTATAACATAACAAACTACATTATCAATGAAAATTTTTTTGGATGGAATTACCTTTATGTATTTTATTGTTTGCTACGAATCTATTTTTAACAATTGTAATACATGGCGCGCACGCCACATGCTTCTAATATCTATTATCATAAGATAAATAATAACGAAAATTTAAAAACCTGTAATTTACAAATTTTATTTAGCGTATACCCTTAAAATACTAATCTTTTTATTAAATTTGAAAATAGGAATTCGGGTATATGCCGTATACCCGCGTATACCTTCCAATACACACCTGCTGCTAATAAAAATATGATAAAAATAAATAGCAAATAATATACTCTATTTATACAATTTTTTAAAGAAAATACCGTATATATACTTTTTTTTATCTATATCCATCGAGAATCAAAATTAAAGAAATAAATCTTCATAGTCTACCACTAAGAGTACAATTATTTTTGTTCTTTTTTTACCTTATGAAATTTTTAATATCAAGTTAGATATTATAATTATATGTAGTTATATATTTTTTTTTATTAAAAAGAAGTGAGAAAACAATGTTTCTTTTAGAAAAATAAATGTAATGTAAGACAAAAGCACAATTTCTATTAAAATCAGTGATGCTGTAACAAAATGTTTTGACCATAGATTCCAGACGAATAATTGTTTATTAATAGACAAATAAATGAATGAAAATTTACCTCGTCTCATTTTATTTAGTTTTAGGAAATTAGTTATAGTATTAGTTATTATGTGATAAAAATAATTTATGTATTAAATCAATATTGATGCCAATCAATTTTAGTATATTAGTATTTAATCAAAATCAGAAATCACTGATTTTAATATTTATCGATTTATTTACATTAAATAATTTTTACAGATAACAATTTCTATATTCATTTTAGCTTGACATCATAATAAAAAATTAGTTAATTTAAAAAATAATTTTTAACTAGTTAATAAACAAAGATGGACACCTTGGTTTATGCCATTGTTATAATAATGTATTTATAATTTCAATAGTGGTCTCATTTCTCATTGTTTTGTCAAGATATAGTTTATATACCTTAAAATAACTTAAAAAGTGTCTATTTAATGTTGTCGTCCTACTAACTTATATAAAATAATTCTAGATACTTTGCTCAAATAAAATTGCCAAACATATATTTATACGACATTTTTTGCACTAATGTTTTCCTTTTAGTAATTAGTACTGTAGTATTTATTTACAATCTGCGAATTTTTTTGTTTTTTCATTAGGTTATTTTTTTGTTGAATAAATTCTTTCATGTTTTTAAACTTAAATAATGACGTTTAATGAACCAATTCATTGTACATAAAGCTTATGTTACACTTAAGTGTTAACCTTTTATCTAATCTCTATTAATTTTTTATTAAATAAAAAATATCAATGTCTTTAGTTTCAGACATCTGTCCTCATATTATCGCCTCATATTATTCAAATAGACGTAAGTCAGTAACATTAGAGATAAATCAGCTAATTAATTAAATCGATATTATTTTTTAATTAAAACTATTGTGTGCATATTAGTTTGATTACATATTTATTGGTAAGCTTTTACACTTTAAAAATTAAGTTGTCCTATGTCGTGCTTACTTTAAAACTTTGAATATTATTAACGCATTATTGTTTAAATTCAATACATTCGTTAATATGAATAATTCTTATACGAAAAACATTAATGTTTTCTTTTTGATAACGGGCATTTATGTTTATCTATCGCTCTCTATCAAAATTTTAACTGCATCAAATCAATTATCGTACAACGAAACAGGTATTTAAGTATTAATTATGAATGCTTAATAAAATTTATCTGTTTAATTTATTTATAAAATACACATTGGTATATTGAATTTTTATTTTTATTGAAAAAAAAAAATAATAATAACGTTGAAATATCTCGAACTTTTCAATAATAATAACATCTTAAACGATGACAAAAATTAAAATTCTTTTGAAATGAAGAAATTCTTAAATTTTCGAAATTACCGTTGGTTATATAAAATACCAAACAAAATCTAACATTTAAACAATTTAATTAAATTTTTACGCTTAATATTTAATTAAATGTTATTATTATATATTTGATGATTTGATATTTAATGGAAAACGTATTTTAGAGAAATTGTTTGAAACCAATTATATTCATCTAACGGTAAATGCTATTGGTTCATCAACTATTGATGTAGGGTGGTTACCAGTATTAGATATTAATAATAAATCTATGAACTATTTAGTAAGTTATTCAAATCATCAAACTAGCGAAATAATAAACACCAGCACAACACGATTAAAATTAAATGATCTAATAGAATGCACTACATACATTATAACTGTAAGGTGCATTTTCATAACTGATGATAAAATTGTACTTGGACCCTCTACAACTAAAGCTGTATCAACACTAAGTATTATTCGTAAGTATTATATTTATTTATTAGATTAAATTAGATTACTTTCTAAACTGTATATTTATAATAATACAAAATCAGTATGTTTCCAGAAATTTCCAAAAAGTTATGGCAACATTTTGAGATAGTTATTTTATAAATAAATTTATGTTGTTTTTCTTAATTGCTGGTATACAAAGAAAAATAAAGATTTATATTGATGAAAATTTTTATATAATATATTAAATGTCAGTTTGTCAGAGATATTTTAGTGTAATGTTAATTTAATAAATAACTGATATCATTAGCTCACTTATTATCTAATTTTTATGAATGTTTAACTTACATAATATAACATATCACATAATATATAATACATAATATAACAAGCAACATAATTTATTCTTTAAGATGACTACAAGTAACGTGTACAAAAAAAGGCAATTATAAACTGTTGAAAATTAAAATTATATTTATTCATTTTATTATTAAAAAAAATAATAAAAAGTATGATCGTAACGCTGCTAAAAATGTAAACTTTGATATATAAAAAAAAAACATAGGGAATTTATAATATAGATATAAAGTTATAAAAGTTGTTACTTAGATCTGTTCCAGCTGAAATATATGTAGAATGTAATTTATTAAGAATACTATTAACATCCCCCATTTATTGATTAAATGATAATTTTTAATAAAAATATACACATTTAAATTTTATTTTATTTTATAAAGTTTATTTAAAAAAAAAAAAATTGTTTTCATAAGTTTATTTTAGGAGTAACTTTTTCAAGTAAACGGGAAACCATGATTATTTTTTTATGAATAATGTGGAATGAAGTAAATATAATTTTGACTGGCTGATAACTAGTTTTGTAAATGTTCTTTTTGAATTAATATAACTTTTAGTAATGTATAGACGAGAGGAAAATTATCTGTGAGTTAAAGTTTAAATAGAGTGTCGCTCAAGGGCCAAACTAAGGCCTATATGAACCCCGGGGATGTTTTACAAAATAGATTCATCATTTGAAAAGGTTTCTTCATAAACGCAATACAAAATTTTTTATAATTTTTATTACAGTTAATTGTTTATTTGTTTTAAATTCATTTTATTCATTTATACAATCCATTTATCTTAAAATTACTAGTCCTCGCCATAGACCTGATACAATTTAGAACGTTACCTAACCAGCGTAATTTGCACCGAACATTCAGACATTATTTTTAATAAAACACACAGTGTTTTGACAAACATTGCAAAAATTAAATAATTATGAGTAAAAAATAAATAAACATGTCGAATGTAACTCCCTTAAATGGTGATCCATGTGCTTCTATAATTGAAGGGGCTACTTTAAATTTATAGGTAAAATAAGTTTATAGCTTAATTAGCGTAATTTAATTTGAAAAAAATAAAATATTTAATAAAGTAAATAATATATTACCCACAATAAATATTACTTTTATCATTAATTTTTTTAAAATAAATTTTTTACAGAAACAGAAACAATTAATAATTTTTCCGTAAGTGTATATAGTCGAGCAGCAATATTATCTTGGAATAATTTTTTGGAAAAATCAACTTGTTCAATTAATTATAGAATATCATGGTCTCGATCGCAAGAAACACACTTAAAGGAACAATTATTTACAGAAAATAATTTTTATTATATGAACAATTTGGAGCCTTGTACCCAATACACGGGTTATATTATACCTGTAGATAGGATAGTCGACAAAGGAAAATCAACTCGATTCAATTTTACTACCAAACATGAAAGTACATTTGCATTTAGAACTTGTAATAAATAGTTTATTAACATCTATAAATTATTTTATTAGTTACTGGGACGGTAGAAAATTTATCTTATGTTACCAATGAGCCCAGAAGTTTATTTCTCAGTTGGAATGCACCAAAGAATTTTCCTCTTTGTGTAAATTTTTTTCGGATTGTTTACTGTGGTAATAATTTCGATTGCTCATCACTGAATACTCAAGTAATCACAATTCCTCATACTCTATTATTATTTGGCAAAAATGAATATAAAACATTTTGTTATATTTTCAATTTAGAATAACCATATAAAACTTACACAGTTAAAACCAAAAACATCTTACATAATTTTAGTGTTTCCTGTTATGTTAAATAATGAAGATGGAATCCCTGCTAGAATCGTTGCTACGACAGAAACTGAAAGTAATCATTACAATTTTAAATAAATAAAAATTATACAGAGTCTATCATTCTACTGGTATTTTAATTTTTTGCGTTTTAATAACACTTAACACAGTTATAAATTAAAAACGGATATGCAAAAATAAATAAATTAATTAATATTAATGTATTAAATTTGAATAGCACCTGAGGTTCCTCTTAATTTATCAGTGATATTTGTATCTCCTACATCTATGCTTGTTCAGTGGGCATCATATTCGTCAAACAGGAATATTATTGCATATCGATTAAGTGTAAGATTTAAAAACTATGTCTATGAAGTACCAAAATACTGTTCTTTTAAAAATCAAGATCAATGGACATATAACATAAATGTAGAACAAAATAGCGATGAATTTGAAGATAAATTTAAAAATACAGGTTTGAGCATTACTGTTTAATTTCTAATGTTTTTAAAACACAATCAATCACTTAGTTTTGATAGATCTTTTAGTGCATGTTGGATGATTTATTTATAGGATTAAAAGAATTCCGATATGAAATCAAAAATGATTTTAAACCAGCTAGTGAATATCAAATAGAGTTATTTGCAATAACGGACTATGAATATGGAAATTCTTCAGCTACAACAATAATTACTGCACCGTCAAGTACAACTACTTTTTTTTTTTTCAAATCATTGTATTATTATAGTTTGACAATTATCTTTTGTTACTGTTATTATTTTTAAAGAGTAGGCTATAGAAAAATTGCGACAGTTTTAAGGGTATATAAGAATTGATCCCGAGACAATGGGGTACAAGGCCTATCGCTATCATTGTCAACTTACAGCTACACTTAGATTAATTTTGTTCTTTAACAAAAAGTAAAAATGATCCTTCAGATAATTTTCAAAAATAAACAACTTAAATTTTTTCCAAATGTCTATTTATAAATTTATAGTTATAAACAGATAAAGAATCTTCAAAATTGAATTTATACATCATAGATGTTTTAAGTATAATTCTCAAAATTTTCCTTTAATGAGCTACTGTTTTTCACAGCAAATGTAAATTACAGTATTGTATAAATTTCTCTATAAATTTGCATGTTATATAAAAAGGTTCCCAAATAGTTTATTTAATAGATAATTTAAAATCTAATAGATATTGGATTTACTATATGTATTTATTTTTTTGTTTCGTACCTGTCTCTACTTTTTCAGATCGTATTTGACCAATTTTGCTTAACAATACATCAAAACAAAACAAAGTATACCTAATTGAATAAACTGCAATAAAATTAAAGAAATATCCCTCGTACTCAATAAATATATGGAAACTCATAAAAAATTACAATTTTAGAAGTTTCAATTTTTTTTTTTTACTCTTTTTTCTAAAAAATGTAAACTTTTTCTCCTTAACTTTTATAGATATTTAAAAAAACTGTGTATTTATATATAATATTTTCAATAACGAATGAGTAGTATTTTATTTTTAATCACAGGTAGTTCACAAGTAGTAGACTTAAAAGTTTTATCAATAACTTCGAATTCAGTAACAATTAGTTGGAAACATCCTTGTGAACCAAATGGTAGGATAGCGTTCTTTCATAGCACTACAATAGGAGAGAGATATGCATATGATAGTCATATTTTTGGTATAAAATATGACATTATGGTAATTTTTTTAATCAACAATTAATATCCGGATTATTTTTAGACATTAATATTTATCTTGATATAGGGAAATAAAAAAACATATGAATATAATGTTACAAACCTGCTACCTGCATATAATTATCGTTTCACAGTTGCGGCAATTACATATGACGTCGAAGTAGTAGGGCAAGACAATTCTATACTTTTTACTACATTATCAACGAGTATGATTCCCTTAATTCAAAAATTGATAGTATCTGTTTTCTTTTATATTTAATTGTAAAATAAAAGAGCAATTTCTTATATTGACTCATACTTGCTTATAAGATCGCAGTGTGAGAACTCTAGCGTAGTAACTCAAAATTTGTTAATATTGATTGAATTGTTTATACATGTTTTCTCATGGTACAAATAACGTCTTTTTCAACACATTAGCGAATTATGTCGTATTTATAAAATTAAATCAATAATATTAAATAATATTGTCTATAAATATAATTAAATGATAAATTCGTTCCATATATTAGTATGTTATATTTTGAGTTACTACATTATGATACTTACAGTGCTATATGGTCCATGGAAAAAATGAAATTTTTAGGTCCTAATTTGCCATCTAAATATGATACTCATCGTTATCTAAGAGTTACTGTATATGAAAACTATTTAACAAGAGTTCGAGTGAATATTTCTACCAAATTATTTTCAAACCTAAATGGAACAATTAGGTCCTATTCTATAATTGTTCTTCAAGATGGTGGTTTTCCTGATATACCAGAAAGAGGCGAGCGCAATGATCAGGACAAATGGCCTCCTGAATTAAAAACTTGGGCAATGGCAGCTCCTTATCCTTTTATACTAGCTTATCAAACTACTCCAAATGGTTGGATGCCCTTTAATGGTAAAAATAGTTTTAAAGCATAAACATTTTTGATGATAAAATATTTTTTTATAAAAAGTTTTAGATCAAACCGATGATCAAGCGATTTTTGATATTGGCGTTGATGACTCTTGTCATATAAGTGATGTAAACATCTATTGTAATGGTCCACTAAGGCCAGGTACGAATTACAGGATGAAATTGAGAGTTTTCACCGATCACGGATTTCAAGATTCTTGGACTGTACCTTTTACGACACGTGAGTAAATTAGGACACATTTACGCATGGATAGAAAATATATATATTTTTTTAATTCCTAAATAATATACCGTTGTTGACAATAATGTACTATTCTTCTCTTGTATTCAAAAATACAACGTCGTCTTCCATTCGCTGAGGGTGGATGGCATAGTGTGCGTTATTGTTATAGTTCCCGCATGATCACATGTTCAGGAACTAACTGCAATAACGCAATTATACATCAGTACTCAAGAATTTGAGTGGTCTACAGTATCACACCATTCTCTATTATGAAGTAATTAAGTTGTAATCCAAAAATATTGGACTATATACTACAACTAATGTCTTAATTGTTTTTTTTTTTTGTTTTTTAATAGCCAAATTAATTTATAGTAATTCTATTTTATCATTTGACAATTGAATTTTTTTTATTTTTGGTTATTCTATAACGGGTGTTTATCGAAACTTAAAAAGCGTTTTATATTCCTACATTAATGTTACCGACATGTATAGTAATAAACTGAAATTGATTGAATAAGAATTAGGTGTTATAAATATAGTATTCATCAATATGTTGCTAAGGTTATGTAACTACCAACAAAATGAGGTTTATCAATCTAGTCCTATTAAATATATATTTTGTTTATAGCCGGCAAGTATACTACAATATATTATTTGATATTATGCAGTGTTCTTTTAGCAATACTGATAACAACGACTGGAATATGTTGCGTTTTAAACAAAAAAGTACCATGGTATGAATAGTATTGATACATTTAAATATTTTTATTTATTAACATTTTTATACAGGACAGTACGTAAAACTATACAAAGATCAGATGATAACTCTAAATTATCAAGCGTAATGAGCTATCAAGAGTTGCTGGATAAAAATCCTCAGCAAATCGAGGCGGAATTCAATATTTTGACAATGCACATGAAACCTATTGCCTCAATGGATATTGCATTGATGCCTCAGAATAAATCAAAAAACCGATATACCAATATACTACCTTGTAAAAATTTTAAAACTTAGTACTAATTGATGTATAAATATTTTGAAAAAGCTATTTATTTGATGTAGATGACTATAACAGAGTTGCAATTAATTCCAATGATGGTAACTACATAAATGCATCATTGATTGAAGTGAGTATTATAAAAAATAAAATAAACTTTAAAATTTTTAATAATAATAATTATTTATTATTAACAATTATGTTTATAATTTAAATATTATATATATATATATTAACATATTTTTATGTTTCGCTAAAACTCATTCTTTAGACTTGAAAAAGACCTAAGTTACGCTAAAATACGATTTATCAATTTATTTTAAGTTTCTAATTTTTACTAATACTATTGTTTAGATAACATAAATAAATTAAAAAAAAAATTATACTGATATTAATAATTTATAAAAAAATACATCTAGGATTCTAAAGGAATTTTACAATATATTGCAAGTCAGGGTCCTACAAAAAATACATGCGCTGATATGTGGCAGATGATTTTGGATTTCGATATTTCTGCAATTGTTATGTTATGTCATATAACTGAACAAGGAAAAGTAAATAAAAATTCATACTTATCGAATTCTTTATATTTTTGGCGATACTTATTTAAGTCCTTAAAACGCTATGGCGTTTTAATTTAAAGAATAATAATAATTATAACAAAGACGAAATTATCACTAAATCTTTTAGATAAAATGTGAAAAATATTTTCCTGACAACCAAGAAAAGCTAGTGTTTGGTAATATCTATGTAAATAATGATATTATGATTGTCGACAATGAGCACTCTTACACTACTAGAATAATTACAATTAAAAAAGTATGAATAAGATATTTTAATATGCAAATTTTTTTACGAAATATTACCTTTTTCTAAAATTAGAATAGTAAAATAATATTTACTTAACATATAAACCAGGAAGATAAGGAGAAAACCATCAGACATTTTCAGTTTCATAATTGGCCAGACTTTGGTGTCCCTAGCGAACCGTCTGTAATGGTGAAATTTTGCCAAATAGTACAAGCAAAAGCTCCAGCTGGTATAATTGTAGTGCATTGCAGGTGACATATTGTTTATATAATTCAAAGTCAGACATATTTTTTAAAACTAAATACTGCTATGTCATTGAAATAGCGCTGGAATCGGTAGAACAGGAACTTATATAGCATGCGATATACTTTTACGACAAATTCACGAAAAAAGTAAACTTGATGTTTTGAAAACAGTTTTGAAGTTACGTAAGCTCAGGGCTAACATGGTTCAAACACAAGTAAAAATTAATTTTCCGCTAATTAATTTCAATGTAAAAATAATGGTGTTTGATTTTTAGGCTCAATATGAATTTGTGTATAGTTGTTTAGCATTTTATATTAGGCAATATTTGATGCCTACATCAGATAACACAGGTATGATGATAAGCACGTTATTAAATTGAATAGTATAGAATTAGTCAACAGATTTTTTTTCTGAAAAGTAAAAATAAAGCAGTCTTCGTTTAAATAAAACATATAATTCTACTACGGGCTGTATTAATATTTATTAATTATTTGTTTACTTCAATTTTTTTAATGAATACTTACAGTGTTCATTATTTGGTTTTTAGTGAACAATAAACGAAAATCATCTCGAACGAATACAAGCAATAATAGCTCAGGGTTTACATAACTTGAAACTATATTAAATACACAAACACACTTAAACTAAATTTTGCAAACCATGTTTAGTTTAAATTTTTAATATTTTTTTTTGTATAGAAGAAGTTGAAATGAAATAAGTAATAGGTTAATATTTTAATTATGTATTCACTTTATTTCCTACTATGAAAATATACGTTTTTCAAATTTGAAATAAGATTAAGTCATTTCTTCAGTTATAATTGTACCAGTCTTAAATAGTTTTAAATTTAATATAATATTTCTTTAACAATATTATAATATATAACATTATAATAAACTCATTGAAATGTTATTTTAACTTATTTTGGTTTAAATGCTAACTTGATTCTTGTCAAATAAACAGATAATATTTGTCTCTTAACTTTTATATTTATTATAAAGTTTATTTTTCATAAAAAATAATTATACCTCAATATTACAATGGGGGTGCGGTGTGCCGTCACTTAGTCGCTGTCATAGCGTGATTTTCAGCTACACAACTTTCCGGATGGCTCTATACTGGATTTTTAAATTTTTTTTTTTTAATTAATGTATTAGATTTTATTTAACCCTTTATAATGTTCTGTTAAAATTAATCTTTTTAAATAACTATTTAATGAAATACAGAAAATCAAAAGGTTGTACATAGACAAATTAAGAATAAATTATTTTCTATTTAATCCAGCTGGATTAGTTGTTGGTTTTGTCAAGAAAAATAAGCGTCCCGATTTGTATAATCAAGCTTGGTGTGTTTTTTTTACATTTTCTTTCCAATTTTTATTTTATCCTTATGAAATTAGCCAAACATAAAATATATAGATTCTTTTATCAAAGTTTTATTTCTTAACGAATAACAATTTTATTATTTTAACATGTTAACATTTAAATTAAAATAACTCTTGTAAACTTTTAATCTAAACGTATGCGTTATTTGTTTATTGCTTATAATATACACTATTAAATTGTAGATTATAAATATTTGTTTTTTTCACTTACACTTCAATTTTAAAAATCTTAAATATTTTTATCACAAAAATATTTAATTATTTTTTCAAATTTTTGACTGAACAACAGTTTAACTAAACTATTATTAACTAGATAAATTTTAATTTTTCTTATATGAAAAAATTGTCTGGCCTAAGATCTATTCACTTTAACTCTTCCCCCCGTATATAACAAATATTTATTATATAAATTATTATTTGTAACATAATTACGATATTTATCTGTAATTGATAAAATGAACATCTGTGACTTCAGACTTTAGTAGTAACTGCACAGACTTTACATAGTTTATGATAACTGTATCAAACCAAATTTATGACTAAATTATTATCTTTATCAGTAAATTAATGGATTTAAAAATATTAATAGTTAACACTTGAAACTATTTTTTTAATTGTATAATTGTGTAATATTAAATAAAAAATGTTTTATTTGCTGAAGTTCCTTGTTCATAAAAAAAATGAACAATTCTAAAATTAGTTAATAATTAGTTAAAGTTAAGTAAAACCACTATTATTTTAATTATACTCTAATCTAGTATTATTACTGTGAAATAATAATTAATATTGGTATAAAAATGTAAGATTAGTGTGAAATTAATATTTATGTTACCATTCAACTAAATTTTTGAAAAAACAAAATTTGAGAAAAAAAAAGTTATTTCAATAAATCGTTTGTTTTATAAAAATCTATCTTTATTTAAAAAAAGATAGAAAACATTTTATTTATTTGAATCTAGATAAATTTTATAAAAATTTCTTTTATGTCATCTGGACTCATATTTTTTTATCTAGTCACACATTTTTTTTATATTGTAATCAGGTACTAAAATCTATTTTTAAATTCTGTATACAGAGTGTTCAATGAGTAAGGAAACAAGTCAATTGTTACAAACAATAAGAACAATAAAAACCCGTTTCCTGACTTACTGAACACTCTGTATATTCATTCATTTGTTTAACTATACGCTTATCAAAACTAAAGAATGAATAGGATACATTTATGCTTCATTAAATACGAACCAAATATGACAGTAATATGTCTTTTTAGATGGAACTCTGTAGTACACGTGTACCGTATGTTGTTACCATTTCAACAAAATCTATTAATATATTTCTTTAATAATTTAATTTTAGTTTTTTTGTATAAATTCAAAAAATAAGTATTTTATAATTAAAATTAATAGAAATATTAAATATACTTATTATAGAATAGTATTATACTAGTAGTGTAGTACTAATTATAGTATTTATTTATAAGTAAATAAATAATTTATATTAATAATAAGTATTATCTATAATTATTATTTTTTCAATATATAATAATTCATATATATAATTAATTAACTTTATAGGTTACATTTATTTATATAAACAAAAAATTAAATATGTATAATTTAAATAAATGTAATTGTTATAAATTTAATTAATAATATATATTAATAATGTAAATAAGAATAAGTATTATCTATACATAATTTTATTAATAAATAATAAAATCTTCTTCTTCTTCCTCACCTTAATCCAAACTACTTAGGGCCGACCACCCTTATCCTAAACTTCCACTTGACACAATCTCCCACATCATCTACGCTCACATTAGCTGTCCTCATATCGCATTCAATAACGTCCCTCAATCTCTTTTTTGGTCTTCATCTACCTCTTCTTTCTTCAACATTCATTTCTATAACAGTTCTTACAGATTCCGATTCTACTCTCCGTATAACATGACTAAACCATGTAAGTCTATTTTCTCTCATCTTATCCACGATTGACACTACACCTATACTTCCTCTTATATGCTCGTTCCTTATCCTATCTTCTCTAGTCACTCATCTCATCTATCTAAGAATTCTCATCTCTGCTCTACTTTCTTATCAACCTTCCAACACTCTGAACCATACATCATAGATGGTCTCACTATAGTCTTGTAGAATTTACCTTTTAGTCTCATTGGAATTCTTTTATCGCATATGATGCCAGACGCTTCTGTCCACTTGATCCACCTTTATTTTCCTGTGTCTACATCCTCGTCAATATCACCACTCTTTTGCACAACTGACTCTAAATACTTAAAACTCTCCACCTCTCCAATAACGTCTTCGCATATTGTCACTGACTTACTCATTTCACCTACCTCGTGTTCTCCTTTGTCAAACTCATACTCTATATACTCTGTCTTACTTCTAATTATTCTTAAACCCTTTTCTTCAAGAGCTGATCTCCACACCTCTAGCCTTTGGTTAATTTCCTCCCTATTTTCTCCTATTAACACTATATCATCAGCAAACAACATGCACCACAGCATCTCTTCTTGTATTTCTCTAGTAATTTCATCCATCACTATAGAGAATAAGTAAGGGCTTAAAGCAGAACCTTGGTGCACTTCTACTCTTACCCGAAAACCTTCTGATATTCTTTCTATGATTTTTACCCTGGTACAAGTGCCATCATACATATCTTCTATTATATTAATGCACCTTTTCGGTACTCCTTTTCTCAATAATGCCCACTTAAGAACTTCTCTTGGTAATCTATCATACGCTTTCTCCAAATCTATAAATACCATACACATCTTTTTATTCTTTTTCCTAAATTTTTCTATTAGTTGCCTCCTCACACAAAATACTAGCTCTATTTTGACTTACCAGGCATAAATTCAAATTGGTTTTTGGATACCGATGTTTCAATTCTTATTCTCTTTTCTATTACCTTTTTTCAAATTTTCATACTATGACTCATAAGCTTTATACCTCTATAATTTTCACACTCCTATATGTCACCTTTACCTTTAAATATCGACACCATAATACTATTCCTCCATTCATTTGGAATTTTCAGCCTCTCATACCACTTTCTCGTTAATTAAATGTACTAGTCCGTCATTTCACGAGATATCCTTTAATGTCTCTTTTGGGTACTCCTCATTCAGTAATTTTTCAAAATACTCTATACACCTTATGTAATGATAATCTTTAGACCTTTTTTCTCTTACCTTTGCAAGTCTATAGCTTTCTTTATCGCCTTCCTTTGTTCCTAGTCTATCATACAACTCGTCATATCTGTTAAACTTCGCCATACTTACTCCCCACTTGTTTTCTTTGCACAAGTGTTTATACTCCATCCAATCTTCTTTCCTTTTGCTCTTCTGCCATACTTTAATTTGTTTTTCTTACTTTCTACTTTCTATAATAAAGTATATTATAATTTTATAATTGTATTTTTGAAAATTAAAGTAATATTTAAATATTACGTTAAAATGCATTAAATAATTTAATTTCAAATACTTTTGATTATGTTGTGATTAGTTTTTTTTATTGTTAATTTTTTACATTTTTTAGTTATAAATTAATATTTTCAATACATTTTTAATTTAAAATCTACATCATTAATTAAATCATAAATGAACATTTTTTTAATTGAAAAAATTATGTCCATTTTAAGGCCTGCCGTTTAGCTTCCGTTGTAAAATTTGTTATCAAAAATAATTGAATCAATGTAATTATAAAATAGGTCTGTATGTCATACTATTTTTTAACACCAAGAAATTATGGTATTTTTACTATTATGTGACCACTTTGTATATAACAGAAGACTTAAATTATGTCAAGCGTAATAGACCTTTTTCGTATTTTTAAAAAGTCATTTATTAATTTTTTTTTATTTTTGAGAAGCAGAAAAATTTAGCTAATAAATTTCTTATTCATGGGTAGAAATTACTTACGTAAGAAGATTCAGGTCTGACACCACAAAACAAAAATAGCCAAGTGAAAATTTGACTTAATTTTCTTTAAATATAGGTTCAATTATAACTTTAAAATGCCTCAAAAATAATCATATTCATATCTTACTGTAGCCATTCATTAACATTAAAAACAAGAATCCTGTGTACTTTCAAAAAAAATATAGTGCTACATAAAATTATTTATATACGTTCACTTTAAATATAGAGTTCAAAAATAACAGATATTATTAGGCAGCAAAATTGAAACCAAATTATAATGTACTTACACAAATAATTAGTAAAATAAATTTCAATTTAATCTAGTCAGAATTATATTTTACAAGGTTAGTTCAAACATTAAAACTATAAATAATATAACTAAAGTATATTATTTAAGTAAAAATAATTAATTTAAAATAAAATTAACAAATTAAATTGAAAATTGTTTTCCAACTATCTATCACAGATATCGCAAAACTATAATTAATAAAAAAAAAAAAAAAAAGTAATAATATCATCACACTTTTTCTTTCTTAACAAAATAAAAATATACACAGGTATTTGATATATTATTAGTGGGACAAATAAATATTATTTTTCATAAATCTTATCTTTCTAGTTGTTAATGTACAGGCTTTTTATAGAAATAATATATTTGTTAAACAAATATTTATTTTTATAAATCATATATTTATATATAATTGTATGATAAATTAAATAAATTTTTGTGAACTAAGTTATACTGGAAGTGAGTTAAGAAAATGTCCAAACGTAAATTTTTAGTTGCTTTTAAAAAAAATTCGGTTTTGGTTTATAAATATAATAATTATTTAAGAGCGACTAAATATATTGGTTTTTCGTTGAACTTTTCCTTATCTCTTACCGTGGGTTAATTCAAAAACTTAGTACAATCGTTACATATAACATTACAATTACATATTTAGTCGAAATTTTGGACGGTGTAATTTTTGATTGGACTTATCACAATTTGTTTATAAGGTTAATATACAATAAAAATTTTAAATGTTTACAAAGGTTGTTTGCATAAAAAATTGTCGTAGTTTCTAATAAATTTAAAGATGATAATAATACATATGTTAAAAATCAAAGTTTATAGTAAAAAACCAAAACCAATACGATAGCGACTTAAGAAACAGTTGAGCAACTTTGTGACAATTAGTAATCCAAACGATTTATCTTTAAAGTGATATCGTATTTTGCGGTGTATATTATAAAAGTATTAAAGTTCTTCTAGACAGTACAATGAACTAGAACAGACGAAGAATAGTTGTAATTTAAAGGTAAATCCTGCAGATAATTGCGTGGTCTCAAATGATAAATTGAAATTTAGTACGGCGTTTTGTTACACGTACACTTCTCCTCTCTTGCGTCTGTTGGACGCTGGTGTTTTGCGCTCATCAGTACTAGACACGCTGCCGCTAGAACTTCCCCCGCAAGCACTGTCATCCTTATCGGAGTGTGCGCCACTCGTGGAAGTGATGTCGGTGAGTACTAAAGAAGGTATGGCGTTTATGATGTTACCGTTGTTGTTATCATTGATACTAGTTGTTGAATGTGTTATGCCTAAAGAAGTTAGTAGAGGTTGGCTCATGGACACCGTAGACAAAGCTATAGGACTCATAGAAACGGTCATGGGTCTTGTAGTAAATACTGTGGTACTGTTGAGAGCAGCGTTATTAAATGCTGGATTCAGCACACCCTGGCTAACGTTATTATGTCCTCTGTGCTGTCTTAGAGTTCCTGGGTTCTCCTGAATCGGCGACAGTACAACCTAATAAAACATAGAATCCAAATGAATTATTTAAAACAATTTTATTTTATTAAACACAAATTGACAAACACATCAAACTAGTAATGTAAATATGTTTTAAAATTTAATCTTTCATAATTATTTCAGATCTTTTATGCAGACAAATTGTATAATCATAATAACGACTGATATTTAAAATAAAATAGTCGACACAGATTTTAAATTGTACTAATTAACTCAAAAAGATTGTATGAACATTAAAAAAAATTGTTTAATTATTTATTACATAGTGTCGTAAAATGACATTAAAGAAATAAAAATTCGTTATCTGCCATTTTTTATCAAATAGATAAAAATAAAAGGTATTTTCTTACCAAGACGACGACTCAAGAATTAATACAATAAAACGATAGAAGTGTAATATCTTTGGCAAACTTCCATTAAAAAATTGTCTTGGATATACATTTTTTAAATTTTTTAGTAATTTATGAAGTGCTTCATAAATACAGAAATAATAATTAAGATAAAGTTTTATACGATCATTTAAATGTAAGGTATAACTTAATAACCAAGTTTCAGAATAAAATTGTGCTTTATAGTAATTCATATAAAAACAAAGAAACAACTATGAAAATAATGTAAAAAGATTTTTTCTAGAACTACTAAGATATTAAAATATTTCTTTAAACATAATTAAATACTTTCCAACTAGCCATTGGGATTAATTTCTGTAAAATCGATTATAATGACAATATAATTTATAACGTCACTCTTATGAGTATTACCACTAAGAGTATTTTAATAGACTCGTTCATATGAAACGCAAACGGAGTAATTATTATTTTTCACTTAATATCATTAGGTTATAGATGTTTTATTGTCGACTAGGTAGAATTATTAATAACACATTATATAGTGAAAGATATAAAATCATTTTTTATTTGTAATTAGAATAAAAAAATCAGTACAAAGGGGACGCGACATAGTTGGGACAAAATATATGAAATCTGATGGTTTTTACATCATCATCATAAAAAACACTTTGATGCGTATCTGTTGAATTTTAAAGTATAAAATACGCACTGTGTTCAAAGTTATGTTAAAAAGGTTAACTTTTTTACAAAAGTTTCTATTTTGAATCCCATTTTGTGTAAAAGTAAAGGGTTACATTATAATATATATAATAATAATAATAATTATTTATATATACTGAAATTAAAAGAAATACCTATGTGAATATAAAAAAATATATTATTTTCATAATTTTAATATTTTTGTTAATCCATTTTTGAAATGGTTATAAGTAACAAAAAATTGTATTACTAATCATAAAAGTCGCTCGAGGTTAATAAAATAATATCTATGCAACTTATTAAGTACAGTTTACTCAATTTAACAAAAAATATTAAAACATGAATTTTACAAATTTCGTATATTTTAATATAAAAGTAGTATTAACGGGTATTGAATAACAATTTTTACATGTTAAATTGAACGTCCATATTTTACCTACTTGAATTATTGATATGCATAATAAGGAACTCTTTCACTAAAATTTAATTTGCTCAGTCCTCAAGGAGGAATGATTCAAACAACACGTTACGAGCAACTTTTCTGATGTCATATAAACGATTTGAATTTAAAAAGAAAACGTTTAAAATAAAAGTACCGGTACTAATAATAAAAATTAATGAAAGAAAGTTTTTTTTTTAAATCTCATGGTTCAGAAATAAACTGCTGAAGTGGGTTAAACTATTTTTATCATTGATATTATATAATGATTATTTTAAATAATTTTACTAGTTAGCTAGTAGAATTTCATATTTTTTCTATGCACTTTTTATTACCTGTACAACCGGTATATCCGATGGATGCAGTCCTGACTGAACGGATCCATTGACTGATGCGTTTTGCTTGGTATTTTCCTTATCGGTAATATAGTTATCCTTTTGCACGTCCGGAGTAGGAATCCTAGGTCTTCCCCTTGCGTTCATCTTGTTAGAACCTATAACAACAGATGATATATTTATTATACTCATTGAGTATGGGTAGAAAATGTGGAACACGTCAGATGTAACGGGAACTGATGTTAATACTCGATAAATAGTGACTGTAGTTTCGCGTGAACTGGTACCTTCCAGCTATTTAATGATATTTAGTCCGTAAATGTAATACGTTTAAAGAAATGAGTAGTAAAATTTAATGTATATGTCATGTTTCTATTAGTAGTCTACTGTGGACGAACGCACTAAATAGGTATCACTTTTGTAAATAATTAACAAGTGTAGGCTTATGATAAAAATCATTTTAATAACTTGTAATTTGATAGTTTTCGGTTTTAATAGCGATGGCGAAAAACAATAGTTCGTATCACTTTTTAATAAATTTCATGCGACATATTTTTCCAATAGTTTAAAACAAAGAATATTATGGAGAGAGAGATAATTTCTGTATATAACCACCAGTAACGACGTCAATTGCAAAAATAATGCCAATAATCGTGACGAACAACTAATTAAACATTGTCTTAAATAAATTCTAATGAAAGCGCTGTTTAAAATGAGGAGCTGAGATTTAATTACATTATGTGAAAACGTGTTTCATATTTGCAATAGAATACGAAATAATGTGACCTGTTTAATTAAAAAATACTCAACATTAAGATTTAGAGATTCTTAATAATTTATCTATATAGATATTTATATGAAAAAATTATATTATAAACATTATTAAAAAAAAAATTTTGTTAAAATATTTTTTATTATTAAATTAATGTTTCTGGAACGATATTATTGTTTAGCTCCGGAAAAAAAGTTATCAATTTTTACTTAAAATCTTTTGTTTATTATATTATTTAGATTTTTTTAATTATGAATTGTCTTAATTAAACTCTATCGACAAATGCATAACAAAATTCTAGGGAAATAATAATACTGAGCTCTTTTTAGCTAGGGTTATTTTAAATAACTTTATAAGCTTAATATTTATAAATCTTTAATGATTATCAAAACATTGTAGTGTTTATCGGCGATTTGTAAATATTATTTCTGGAATATTTTTGGAGTTTATTACGTTAATGATAATTTTTTACAAAAAACCAATTTACTGCGTGACACATTTTATAAGTTTTGCGAAAAAAGTGAAAATACCGATCCTGTTTGGTTATTACGACGTTGATTTAGCATATTCGCATAGAATATGTATAAAACTCTTAAATGGGAGGGGATAAGAAAGTTTAATCGATTATTCATTGATATGATAGTTTTACGTTTCAACTCGATTCAAAGAAATTGTAATTAGTGTTAAAATATTGGGAAAATACGGTGGTCCGGGTCAGTTACATAGATTGATACAAACACGTTTAACCTCAACGGCCTTGAAATGACATTGCTTTTGTATAAAGAAGGAATTTATCGTCGAATACACGTTTAAGGAATAAATTACAATAATATCTAATATTTATAATAATGATTAATACACGTCTCTATAGATCATATATGATCTATATGGACATGGATCGAAGCGTTATTTATATTCATCTATAGATGTACTTAAATAACTGCATCTTAAAATAAGTAAATATCAAACAACGGTAAAATTTATACCATTACCATATTCTTATTAGATTTATTAGAAAAGAAATTTAATTTAATGAAAACAATAATTGTTTGGTGAATTATTAAAAACTACAAATAATTGTATGCATAAGAATTACTATATAGTAATACATTATTAAAATCGGCAACATGAAAAAAAATTTCAGAAAGGATGTTAATTTTTAAAGGCTTTCAAATACTGTTTTTTTTATTTGTTTGCATTATTCAGTCACTGGGTACTTAAAATCTATAAATAGAATGTAAATAAATAAAGAACATTTCTTAATGGGTATTTTTAAATTACCTTGTACACTACCGCGTCTACTTTTCATCGATTTCCTACCCCATAAACGATCATAAAGTGTCATTTTTTGCATTTGTGGAGTACTTGTGTTGACGCCACTTACATGGCCGTTAATAACGGCTCCTACGGGAATACCGTTTTCTGGACTGGAGTACACAGAATTGTGCCTAGTTCTATTAAACAGGCCCCCAGATGAATACGTTGTAGATGAAGATCTCATCGATCCCATTCGATGCATTTGTCTCTGGAACCAATTTTTTCGTCGTTCGGCCATAGGTGTATCAACACTTTCCTGAAACATAATTAAAATCATTATGTATGATAAATTTTGCTAGAAGCTTTTTAATAGTAATTTTTTAAATGTTTTTTTTTTTTACTGTACATTAGGTTTAAACAACGATACTACTTGTACAAAATGTTTTTATACTTAAATATGTAATAATTTTATGGTAATATTTATTGTGAAGTTAACACATCAAAGATACTCTATTGTAAGAATTAGTGTCACAACTTAGTCGTGGTGTAGAATAAGTCAGCATTCTTAATATTTGTAAAATGTAATATTTTAACGATCGAATTTTGCGACAACTACATTAACTATTTTTTAAGTGTTTGATGATTATTGCTTTATGTTCTAGAAATTATGACTTAAGGTACGGTCTGCCAGGCGCGACGTGTCGCGGCGACTTATCATTAATATCTGTTTTTAAAGAAATTGTATAATCTGGTCTGCAAGACGCGACAAGTCGCGACATATCAATTTTTGGTCGCCGCGACCGACGACTTACTGCTGCAAGAGCAGTATACGCGCGACACATCTCAGCGACACTGTGTCAAAATTAGTATTTTCATCGTCTGATGGCGAAATATTAATCCAAGAAGTTGAAAATAACCCTATATTATATAATATAGCTGCTACGGATTATAAAAATATTATAATTAAGGACACAATTTGGAAAGAAATATCGACAAAAATTGGAAAATCTAGTAAACAATATAATTAATAATTTTCATTGCATTTATTTAAGTACATAAAATAATTCTGAAATGTATTTAATCATTTTGTAGTAGATGAAACGAAAAAGCGCTGGAAAAATATTAGAGATTCGTGCTCGCGAAATAAAAGGAAACTGGGAACTGGATCGGCAGCATCAAACAAAAAAAAGTGGTCATTGGCAACACATCTCACTTTTTTGGACCAAGTTGAATGTGAACGAGAGTATGTATTAAAATTATATATTATTTATAATTTTAAAAAAACGGGTATTCATAAAAGAATTATTATAGAGAACTCTAATTTATTGTACCTAGTTGGTAAAAAAAGAATGTAATAAAAACATTTTAATTTTCATATAATTTTAATATTATTTGATTACAGTATTATTAAATAATCATAAATAATTTTCATATGTAAAAATTGTAATATACGATAAATTACTAACATTTTCAGCTCGGCTTGTAACGTAACTATAAATCATAGTAGGACGTTCCTTGCAATGAAAAAATGTCGTTGATACACTATANATGAAGAAAATGTCGTTGATACACTATGTGAAGCAGCTAATAGTTTACCGACTGAAACTTTAATTAGAAAGCGTGGTATTTCTAAATCAAAAAATGTTGCCGATTTATTTGTGAATAATTCAGAGGAACGAAGTTTGCTTATTAAGAAAATTATGAATCAAAATGAACAACTATTGGAAAAGAAAGATGAAAGTTTCGATGAACTTGATTTATTTTTCAAAACTATGGCCGTAACAGCTAAAAAATTACCAATCAAAGGACAACTCGAAGCTAAGAGAAGAATTTTTTCATTCATGACTGAACTTGAAGAAAAGTATTTGTTAGACGAACAACCTATACACCCACATGCTGTTCAACAACATTTTCAAACATTGGATTCCTTTCAGCCTTCCCCATCAACAAGTATGTACTCAAGATCTTCAGACTCACAGTTTTCCATGTACAACTATGATGACCCCACTACTACTGCATAACATTTTACAATATGTAATATGTTTTATTTTGATTTTCAATTTTTATATTTGCTTATTTACATACTGAGTATTAAAAGTTTTAATTTTTATTATTTTTTTTGTAAAAATAAAATCTATGTTTATTTTACATGATGTATAAGTAACTATATATTTTTTTCATTAACATTTACTTGTTGAGTATTTTTTAAGAGAAGACTTAAAATATTATTATTATTAAAAATAAATTTATCCATTGTATAAGATTTTTTTTAGAATACTCGCGTAATGCGTACTTGAAGAGATATTAAACTGAAATGACAATATTACTGTTTGTGAAAACAGGCCGAAAATAATAATTTAATCATCGCGACATGTCGCGGTCGTTATTTGTAGACCACAACAGTCGCGACGACAGTTTATGATCGCCGATCGCTGCGACCAGTCGTCGCGACACGTCGCGCCTGGCAGACCGGACCTTTAACGTTCCTATGTTGAATATTTACTGAGGTTAAGGTAATCACAAAATCTCACATTTCATTCATTTTATAATATTTTTTATAAGTTTTTTTCGTATTTATAAACGATAAGCATGTTGTCTGTTAATGTTCCTGGAAATGCGTGTTGATCTTTCAAACAAAGCAATATTTAAACATTATCAGCTTTACAGTATTATATTTGTAATAACGAGATTTATGCGTTTTTATTGCAGAAATGATCTATAGTTTAACACTAAAATAACTTGCTTCATAATTGTAGTAAATAAACAGATAGCAAAGACCAGCGGGTGTTAAAATAATAACGACCATTAGAATCGATCCCACGACATGCATTCTTGTACGGCCACTGCTTGACCTTCGATAGAAGATACATATTAAAGAGTCGATGGAAACCCAAGCAAAACAAAAAGATGCAGCAGATATACAGCGATACCACCCGTTCGGGTTCGTTAATCTCGGCTTTCTACAGTAGTCATAGTAATTATTCAATGTATACACAATGTTTTTTTGTCATATGCACTTGCTGTTACATACAAGTTATCTACACTGTCATACATCAAAACTGAACTAATAAAATTCTTATCAAATTTATTAAAGGAAACAGAGTTTCATGGCGAAAGAAGGGACAATATTAGTTACTTCTATTTTACTTACATAATCAGCGTACATATCGTCGTGTGCTGCAGACTTTCTGAGAATATTTGGAGGAGCCATGTTTGCGTACAAAGCGTCAGATTCTTTAACTTTGTAAAACTCAGCAGATCCTTTTGGTTCATGACGCCTGTAATGTTCTGAAGCGACTGTGTACGGTAAATCTTTAGGCACCACCTCATCCCAGTACTGATCTTTCAGAAGTTCTGGGTGTTCTTCGTGCATTTCGTCGACAATCATGTAAGCGGCCTGTTAAAAAAAAAAAAAATACTCTAATCATGGGCGTAGGTAAGGAGTAATTTTGAGGGGTTCCAAATTCCTATTACGAAAATTTTTCCACGTAATAAAATTATATAAAAAATAATGAGGTTTTGATTATGCATTCAAACTCCTATCCATGAATAATCTATAATATGCCCCTTAGTCTTATTATTATCCAACTTTTCTTTACTATAAAAAATCACAATGTCTAAATTATTATTTGATGTTAATTATAAATACAACAGATATTTAAAAAAATCTAAAAATTCAATTTGAAAATACAATTAGTAAAGAGCATTTAAGGTAATGGGAATTAAATTTAAAAAAATGTTCTTGTTAATTGCTTGCATTTAATGCACATTAAACATAGTTAGGTTTCATTGGGTAAATGCTTTTACATAACAATTATAAAAGTTGGTATATTACCCAAAAATTAACACTATGTATACGAACATATACATATAAATATACATATATACATATACGTACAAGAATGATCTTTTTTGTATTCTCAGTTTAATACCAAATAAATACAATGTATAATTTATTTTTTATAGTTAAATTTATAGCCTAAAACCCAATTAGCAACTTAGTGCAATTTAATTACGTTATATTCGAGTTTGTTTAAAGTAATAAATTACCACAGTACGTCAACGTGTCATCGATATAATACACTTTGTTTTTATAATTAAAAAAGGGAACAAATTATTATAAACATCATAAAATTGTAATTAATAACGCATAAATGGTTAATTTTTGGCTATTTAAAATTTTTGAAAGTTAGGATATTGAAAAATTATATCAAAAACGGATACAATTAAAATAAAAATTAATTTTTTAATAAAAACAAAGCTAAATTCGTCATTTTTTAAAAGTAATTGTTGCGATTGCATCAAATTGTTATGAAATTCACATGTCCCTGTTTAAATTTAAGAACGTGGATGTTTACATTATCAATATTAATGTTTTTGTTTAAAGATTCTATTTCAAACTTCAATCGTATATGTTTATTGTTTATTTTTTTGAACTCGCTAGAAATTATACAGAATAACATTATTGTTTTTTTCAACACTTAATTCAATTATTAGTTTTTGTATGAAAACTTTCCAGTAAAAATTTATCTAAATTTAATTTTGGTTTATCAAACTATTTAAAAATTTGTATACATTAAAAAGTGAAAATTTATCAATGAATAGTTGAAAAATTATAGTTTATTTTCATGTATAATAATATAAGGAAATAAAGAATAATGGAATATTAATGAAAAACATAATTGCAGAGTTATATGCAAATTGAATACAACCATAAAAAAATAAAATTTACAGAAAATCTCAATGAATATATTCATGGTAAATAACCTTGACCGTAGTATTAATTAATGATTTATGCTCATTTAAAAATTACTTAAAAGCATGAATCATCAAAGAAGCAAAAAGTATAATATCATTAAAACGAATAGAGTATCACGTTCTTTTTGCAAACTCGCACATTTTTTTTTGAATCACCCATCCATAAACATAGTTGTAAAAAACAATATCTAGAAAAAAGTGCTAAATTGGTTTTTAATTTTGTTAAATTATCCCCAAAAGCATGTTACAAAGTTTAACGTGTAGATAATCTTTTTATGTCAATCATATATCATTATTATTACACTAAATAATATAATGATAAAATGTTTTAGGTTCATGATGACTAAAGCATGTTTTTGGTTGATATCCCTCCGAAGTTCGAGAAGTTATTGTATTATTGTAAACAAAATTCTTAATTTCTAATATCTACATCCAAATGCATTTTTCCGAAACCATTAAAATGTGTTTAATTATAACACAAACATATTTAAGTATAAGATCAATTATTATGCGTCATCTCATGGTGTACAATTGCAATAATTATTTATAACAATTAATAGTCGAGAGTTTTTCCTGCCCAGGCTGCGTAACGAATTTTAACAGTTTTGTAATTTTACGCTAGTCTAGGTTACCTACTGAAGTTCTAAAAATGATTTGATTACAACATAAATTAATGATATATTTTTATGGATGTTATGTAATGTCAATAGCTATAAATTTAATGAAGAACCGAGCCAAAATCTTGCTGATTTAGCAGCCAATAATCATTACAATCTGCAGTATTATACTAAGTGCACATTATTATAGGTGAATGAAAAAGAAAGTAAAAAACCGGATAGCAATAGTTGATCAATTTTGCTGTAATTTCAGAATAATTATGTGCTATATTTTTCATGTAATATATGGAAAATACATTATAACATGCTATTTATACCTTAATATGTCTATCGATCAGCCAATTCAATTCAATATCGTCGTCGTCTTCTCCAAAAGGTCCGATTAAAACTTCAGCTACTTTGAGCCAACCGACAAAAAAACAAAACTATAACAAAAATAAATGTTTTATCATAAAACTTGTATAAAATGTGTGATGAAAAAAATGTTTCAAACCTCAACAATCGTAAGGACTGGCACGTACAGATCAAACTCTTTAAAGTCTTTAAATCCCCACTCGACTGGCGGTTCCACCATTTGGGCACCAATTAGTTGAGCGCCAAAATAAGCGTACAGCGATAACGTGACCACCTGTAATTAACAAAAAAAATTAACATTAATATGTTGTTGTTAAATTTTATTACCATTTTGTTGGCCAAATAATATTTAAGTTTCAATGAAACCAGATTTTCTTTACATCAGCGATTCTCAGAAAAGACTCTTTAAAAATTAATGATTTGGTTTTACCATTTTTACAAGAAGATAAATATTACACAATGTATTGCAAAACATATTAAGAGTTAAATAATATATATTTATATATACATAAATTATCGTAACTGGATATATAATTATTTAAGTTTGCAAGTATTGTTAAACTTAGTAATTTTTAATCTTTTGTGTACAGGTTTTATGACAATACGGATTCATATAAGCCGCGATTATAATCTATACTGATATCTTTAATTCCCATAACAACAAGAGAGAATATTTTGTTACTTAAAATTTTATACACCAAAAATTGATGATAAAAAAGCGGTTATGATGTTAGATGATAGCTTGATTACTTATAAATAATAAGTACTTACATGGTAAAGCAGATTTGTATAGGTCGTGTCTTACTTAATGCTAGTGCCATAGCCAGGGGACTTGCTCCCATTAACATCAATATTCATTTCTAAATGAAGTGATGAACAAAAAAGATCCAAAATATAGAATTTTGTAGATTTTTTTTTTACTATGGCCCCTCTGTGAAATTCTGGCTACGACACTGGTTATTGCTGGTAATTTCAGCATAAAAAACTAGTTATATCAAGCGAAGGAAATAGAATACTCTTTGCATCTAATGATTTGTATTTCATCCAAATATTTTTATTGATAAAAAAAACAATAAATATTTTTTTGCCGCCGTTTTGTAGATAATTATTTAAGTTTTCAACGCCTTACTTTTCAATCAATACTCTAAGTACCATATAGTATACATTGTGCTAAAACAAATGTTAGCAGAGTTATACATCATAAGAGATATAAAAAAAAAAATTTGCTTTATAGGATATGGTCTAATGAAACCTGAACTATTAATGACGTAATCACTTGAGGTTTATGAAAACTAATTTCAATACCAAATATCATAATCAAGGTCACTTTTTATTTATTTATTTTTTCACAGAGTTTCAATACAATTTTTAATTGTAATTAATATAACATTCAGCGATTATAAATTGAAAGTATAATCAAACAATTGTTTCTTTTATAATCTTTCCAATTGTAAAATTTATAATTTATAAAATTTTAATAATCATAAACGTAAATATCATTTGATTGTACTTCCAGTTTATTATCGTCCTATAACTACTGCAGAAGAACAAATATTTGATTAACTAGTTTTTTGCAGCAAATAATGATATAAAAAGGAAGACTTCAACACGCATTTTTTGTGATAATGATAATAATATATAACTTTGAAATTCAAGGACATTGTTAAGATATTTTCAATGGTTGTTTTAAAACTGTCTATTATAACAATGATGCAATGAGAAATTGTATAAAATTATGAATCTTATAAAATTAATTAAAGAATGATTTAATAAAAATGTATTTAATACTGCGTTAAAAATAAAATTATATATAATCATTACAGTTTCTGTTATAACTACCTAAAATATTAATGTATGCAGTTATCCAAAAATTCCTATATGTTAATATGATATTCAATACTCACATATTTTACACAAAAATAGGACAGTTTGAAAATAAAAAAATAAGTATTTAAAATGCTTGCACATATAAATCATTTTTACTATTGTTTATCAAAAATTTCCCTCGTATAATAATACATACTATTAGTTTGAAAAATAATTTGAAAATATTTTATCACATCACTTCACTATTTTTAATAAGCAACTTTACATTGTATAAAACAATATTACTAAGTATTATTATTATTGAATAAAAATATTTTATAGAGTATTTTGAAGCTTATAAAAAAAATATTGAACCATTAAATACTAGTTAATTATTATATGACATTAGTACTTGTGATTCACAATATACAAAGATAATTAATTAAATTTAAACGTTAAAAAATTATAATTGATTACTCGTGGTTCATTAATTAACAACTTATTTTTAAATGAATAGTATTGATAACTTATTGTCATATTTAAAATACAATTTATATTTAATTTTAGTTAAGCATACATGTACCAAGAAATGCTAAGCTCTTATTTAAACATTAAGTCAACTTTCTATAATTTATTAAATCAAATTATAAAACAAATTTGGCATCGATTCTTATAGTTTTTTATGGTTATAAAATATTTTGAAATCTATAAAACGTAGTATAACAAAACTAATTTAGTAATGCAGACACGATTTGATCCTCGATTATATAATCGATTTTTAAAACATTTTTTGGGGGGCGATAGATTGTTTGGCTATCGTGTATTACTACGCACATCGAATACATTGCTACTATCACATGGACACGATAAAAAGTTTCAAGATGAGAAATCACAGTAATGATATATTTCAGCACACGATTGAGGTTTTGCAAAAATTGAACTCTCGATTTCCGAGATATACACTTATCGCGTACGAGACAACTCGAGTTCATTGGACCGTATAAATGCGGTACAATCATTCGATATCCATATCGAGTTAAATGTGCCGGCGACTCCTTGAAAAGTATACACCGTATCGCCTTCGGGTCCGCAGTCGCGGTAGTTAGTTCTTTTACCGAGTAGCTCTATAATCACAGCCAGACGTAATTATGATACGTAACCGCTCTTTACATCTGATTATTGAAAATGTCAACGATAAAAAAATATAAACAAATAAATTAATATTATGAGACATTAATGATTGAAAAATGTTTCACACTCGCTACCGATTAGAGTATAAGTCAATGTCATGATAATAACTGCTTCGAGAAGGTCAGAGCCGTTTCGATACCGTAAGCGACTAGTGCAGAGTCGAAAAATTTGATGTAAATTCATGCGAAATCTCCCACTTCTTTTCACATAATTTCTTAACGTGTCGGAAAGAGTCTGTAGGTCAACTGTCACATTTATCTGGTATTGTTTCGTCTTTCTAATAGTCTGAAAGGCGACACTCGACTATAATGCACCGCTTCAAATATGATTACTTGGGATGTGCAATAAAGAGCATGGAAAAACTATAGTCAAGGTGACTTTACTCTCGCAATACTCTAATACATCATTGTACTGAAAATTCCTTCATAGATGTAATTTTAAATATGTTTTTTTTTTTTTTTTTTTTTAATTCAATGCATTTTTGTTGTTTTTGTGAACATAGTTTACGGAACAGATAGTTTAAAGGGAATCCTATTTTTTACTCTAGTTTTTAATTCCGGTTTTTCGGTAGCCTTGCATGGTCTAATGCGTTGAAAATTTAAAGCGAAACTGAAAATAATCGCAAATAGCAATAATTATTTACGTGAGAAATATTTTGGTATTCGAATGTTTATGACGAGATTTTTTTTCAATTTGAAGCGTAAAATAATTATTTCATCAATATGAAAATAATATTACATTGAGTAAGTACATCAATGAAAAACTAAGATTTTTAGAATAATGACTAATCCGAATATTTAAAATAAAAAGAACAAATCTTATTGAAAGGTTATTTCCTTAAGATTGTTAACATTGATTTAGTTGAAGAGGAGAACACAATTTCTATCAAATAATGAAAAATAATTCTTCCATAAGAAAAATATGAAAAAAAAAAAATAATGAATTATTTAACTGAATAAAGTTTAATTCACTAATTAGTTTCTCGCCTTTTAATGAAATTTATTTACATAAATATAATACATATATTATTTATTATAAGTTTTAATAAGTTACTTCTCATTAATTAATAATTTATTTCTTATTTGTCATCTTAAATAAAACATTAATAAAAATTGTTAATATTTTATTTATTTAAGATGACAAATTGCTCTTATTTTTACTTACATACAACATAATGACTTAAAAAGAGACTAAAATAGAAAAATATTGTTGTTTTAAGCTAGTTTACAAATCACTTGAATGCCGTTTATGATTATACCGATGGTTTTGTAATTTGTAACAAAATTATAGCTATAGATATTATAGAGATTATGTTAAATAATTTGTTTAAATATTTTAAAATGGTATGTAATGCACTTATTTTTTTTTTTTACAGCTACATGTGTAAAATTAAGTTATATCTCTTATGAATAACATATTCATAACAAATATAGTAAGTAATATACCTACTATAGATTGCTTTATTGTATTTTAGGTCACTGTGACTTATGCATTTTAACATGTTTTAACGATTAAATGGTTATTTTACGACCAATTTTAAATTCATATCTCCAACACCTACGTAATTATTATTTTTAAGTTATCAATATGTGTCAATGACAATGTTGTAAAATGTAAATGAAGTTGCCAATAACCGAAATTTTATTATAACATTTCCTGAAAAGGTCTTTTTACACTCGTAAATGTAAATTTATTTATCTAGGCAAAAAGTACTTACATAATATTTAATTGAAATCTTTATTTATGTATTACAAATAAGCTATTTTCTATGTATTAACCTTCTTTTAAACATACGGTACTCTTATAGAATTTTTACTTTTATTTTTTCAGAATATTAAGTATAAATTAAAAAAAAATCTTTGATTTTGAGTTGATTTACAAAAGATATCAAATCAAGGGTTATTTTAATTTTTTTAAATATTACATTACTTCAATGATATATTAGAAAAGGAATTTAAGAGCCATAAAATAAACTGAACAAATTGTTTTTTATTTATATCTCTAGTAGATTACTGGGCTTCAATGAAGAAACTCGCGGGGAGGCTCAGGGATAAATCAGTAATGACGATGGAATGTTGTGTACTATATAATAATAAACTATGTTATTATGTACACTACTTATTATAAAAACTCTGACCAAATGTAATTTTTATTCGAAAATGTTCAGTTTTAAACAAATCGTTATCTAACTATCAATAAATCTAGTAAATATATAAATATAATTTTGTGAATTTAAAATTAACAAATAAATAATTATGTATACAGAAACCTTTAAATTTAGATTAACTTTATCCACAAGTTACATTATACAATTGAATAAATTACTCAACTTAAACAACTTAGTATAATATTACAAAATTATTTTATTTTCAATAGATATTATCGTTTTTACACCATGCGAGTACGTGGTCTTGTTATTTGAAAATTTTACGATCTATAAGTATAGTTAATACAAAGTATAGTAAGCTACGAAGGAGCATGCAAATAAATCTGATTATAAAACGTACACAACGTTTTACTACAACATTGTTTTTTGTGGAAACGCAATAACACACATGCCATTTGCGCTATACCGACCTGAGAGTAGAGTATTGGTATGTTGACACCATCGTAACCAATCAATGATCCCAGTCTGAACCTTATGTTGGACATCTCCAACAATATTGTTTGGACCATTTGATCGTTGGATATTAATTTTTCTCTTCTGGCCCTATTTATAATGTTGTTGGCCCATGTTAATGGTATCCAATAATTGGTCATCGGAGTCTTGGCCTCTATCGATTCTAAAATTTCTTTTTCACTTGTCATCATCAAACCTGTGTTGGTTATTTTTAAAATGTTATGTTTATTTCTGATGTCACAACTACAAATTATATTAGAATTCCAATTTTTAAATAAAAATCTATGTTGAATTTTTAAATACTGAAGTTATTTTTTATAGATTATGATTCAGAACATGCTGTCAAAGGATCCATAACGTTTGTTTTATGAATTATTAATAAAAACATTAAGAAATTACTGAAAATATCAATACACAAACTAAACAAAATAATTTTGTTTAGATTTATGTAATTATTGCATAAAACTCAAATGTCAATTTTTAAATAAATTTGAAAATAAGGTTAAATATATACAAAAAATCAATTAAAATTACTATTTTATTAAAGGAATAGACCGAAATATGTTAAATTTCTAAGGAAGTTATAAATTTTAAAGTATAGTTTATTTATACACCATTTTTAAGATTGAAATAATTAGGTTTTTATTGTACGATACATTTTATTCAGAGAAATCAATTATTAATGACCTAATATAAAATGTAGCTGTAGTAAATTAAGTAACAATTTGATGCTGTCAAATTGATTCGTTTTCTGAGGTTATCAAAAGGAGTAATCAATAAAATATCGGATCGCCTAGCAGTGTTTCAGTAATTTATCTTAGGGAGACAAAATTACACATTTTTGATATTACTAATAAAATATAAAACTGCATTTAATCACTTGATAGTTGACATTTGATTAGGTAATATGTTGTTTTGGACCAGTAGATATTACCGTACAGTTGTACGAGTGTAATTACTAAATGAGTTTATGATGAAGTGTATAAAAAAAACACTATATTGTTCAAGTCAATAGTGTAATAAAATATTTCACGTTATTAGCGAATGAATTTGTATTTTCTAATTTTTGTTCAAAATGACACGTATAAGCTTATAAAAGATATGCATATCTTGAAATTTCAAAATTTTACTTCCTAATTAACTTTTGCTTGTAAAATTTGGTGTTATATAAAAGTAAATATTAAAAAAATTAACGATTTAAATTATAATTGGATATAAAAAAATGGAGAGATTAGTAGAGATTTGAAATAAGTGTTAGCTTAACTAGCTCTCTTGGCGATAATATTTGCGCCAAGTTGCATATTAAAACTTTTTAATTAAATCAGATTTTTCAAGCAACAACAAAAAAATATGTGTTATTTTACGAATAAATAATTTGGTCTTCCTCAACATAACTTTCTAGAATCATGCGTAACCCATCTAAAAAGGAACACATTGAAAAAAATAGTATCAAATTTGAGTTCAGCGACGTCAATAACATGTTAATTAAATTTTGTTTACTTAAAAGTAGAAATTATGACTTATATTAATTTTGTCCTCCTAATATTATATTTCAGAATAATGTGCTTCGTATTCATATTACATTTATAATAATAAATGTAATTTAAATTTAACTTGGAGAAATTAATAAATATAAAATTATTAAACACACAAATATCATCAATTTATTGAACAAACGTATTTTGCAGTCATATTCTCTTTTTCATTTCAATTTAACAGTGCACTTTCTCTCTGCAATTAGATTACGTGTACAATTGCAATCACTAGTAAATTGTTGAGTACATATAATAATATACAAGCGTAACGTAATCAGGCGAATAATGATAAAATAGCTGTCTACATTTTAGAACAATTGAAGATAACATGATAATCATGATGACTATTGATGAAAACGATGAATAAGGAATTCTTTGACGTCGATTTTGTCTCATTGATCAAAACACTTCGACAATACCCAAATCGACTTAGAAGTATCTAGTGTGATTTTTTGGCGTTAAATTGTTTTGTCAAAATTTGTATTTTGTATACAAATTATATCATTCGCGTTTGCATGCCTGACACATCTTGTGCAGGTGAAATTCAACCACCATTCACCTCGGTAATGTTACTCGGGTTCGTCCATGTTGTAGCATACACGTTTAATAAATATTTATGTACAAAATAATTTGTTTAGTTGAAATATTTAATTATTTGTTATTGCAATAAAAATATTATCATCGTTATGCATACAACGTACAATTTATTTATATCAAATTTATTTATTGATACTACAGAACTGAATCATAATTTGTATCGTTATGTAAATATGCAAAATGTGAACTAATAAAAAAAAATGTTAGTCTCTTGTGACACTTAACACGCAGTTGCGTGGTTTTCAAAGTGTAGAGCTAAAGATCACAGTATGTGGTAAAAATAATGCCAAGGTATATTTTATATGAGTTAAGGCCAGAGACTTAAAGTTAATATTATACTGCAGTTCCATTGTCGAGCAACGAACACAAACGCTCAAGTCCTTCAAGCATACATTTTTGTATGTAGTTACGCTTATTATAAAGTACAAATAAAACTATAATAAAATAAAATTACAACTTACCAGTATTTTGGAGTTGATTGTTACATGCAATTTTAGTTAGTTATACACATGCACATGCAAAGCTAAAAGCGGTATTAGTTTGTAAAGTATATCCAATAAGAGCCGTATCATACCAAGAAATCAACACATCTACTTTTACGGTATTATTTTATTAACAAAAATTCAACCAACTAAGGCATTTAATGAGATGGTTAATTTTCTTGTGAAAAACATATTCCTATGGTACTTGCCAAATTTAAATGAAAACAAAATTTCATAAAAGATTGATTAATCAATATACAGTAGATTTAGTAGATTGGCAAGTTGCCGAGGAATAAATTTTTTTAATGAAAATGAAATAATGTAATGAAACATTCAAGTGTAGTCGGTAGGGTATTGGCAAATTGCTGACCTGTGTATAGACGAGTGGAACGCAGACAGTATCATAGCTGATTAGGGATCCAAGTCTACGTCTGATGTCAGACAACTCGACAAGAAGGGTTTGCACCACTTGGTCACTGGATATGAGTGATTCTTTGCGAGCTCGGTTTATGATGTTTGTTGCCCACACAAGCGGCATCCAGTATTTGGACATAGGACTCCTTTCATCCATCATTTCCACAATCTTTTTTTCGCTTTCCAGCATGATACCTGTGTCGGGCCTAAGTTTGTTATACGCTTAATCGCAACACTTCCTATGGATACCTTTGTTTACCCCCTCCATAATATTTTAAACGGTCAAGATATTGTACTCGTGGTAAAAAAAAGAGTATTACTACATGCAAATATTATTGTAAAGTGAAAATGTTTTAATAGAAACCTTTGATGAAAAAATAAAAAAATTATAACAAGTTTATTGAACTCTAAAATTTAATTTCTAGAAACTCAATGTTATCAAAATTTGACAAACAAAAAATTATTATAAAAAATAAATTAAAGAATATTACGCCGATAATTTTTTTTTGGCTTTATTTTATTATAAAGTAATAATTTAACAGATTGAACTCGATAAATTACCTACCAAAGTGACATACAGAATACACTAAAATTTAATTTTACTGAAAACTTCCAGAGATTGTATAGAAAAAAGGAAATTATTTATTTGTAGTGTATGTTTAAATGAGTAATCCAAATTAAATTATTTCATTGAAATGAAGTTGAAAATTATACTATCCGAATAGTATTGTACAGGTATTGTTGTCGAAAGTAATTCAATCGAATCAATTGTCAACCGAATTAATAGTTAACCTTTTACGTAAATGTACAGCTTAATTAAGTATTTCCTAAGCCACGCATGGGAAAACAGTAAACACAAATTTTCGATAACGACATAACGGATATGAGCTCGAAACTTTGATAAAAATCCAAACAGTAAATTATCGTAATATGGCCGGAACTATTCATTTGGGTTATGTTTGTGCCAATTACTATAGTTTTGAATACATAGTTTTCTTTATTTTTCGTCGTGAGTATTGGAAACTACATTTAACTGATTAAATTTCTGATTACAGGGTGATCTGATTTCGCTCGATTCTACGATTAATAAATACGTTGTCGCATTCTTTCAATAAATTGATAACAAACGAGTTTTTGAGTTACACCTATGTGAAAATATGAAAACCGGTCATTTCACGTCTCCCGGGTACTATATTACTACTTGATCAATGATTTAAAAGCACGATATCCGTCTGTGTTTTTATTAGGCTAGTTAAATGTATTGAAATTTTATTTCAAGCGTTCAAAAAGTTTTGAGTATGAATTCAAGAAAAATATTGATTGTTGATTGTAATAAAGTATTGTAAATAATAATAAAAAAAACAAAATATTTTTGTGTTTTCACTACTTACCGGCGTCAACAATGTGTTGTAACGTAGGAAATCGTTTTTTTACCCTGATGCTCACGTGTTTTAATGTAATTACATAAGCTAATACTGCATATCTCACTATATTTCGTCTCATTAGTCGTCCTCTTTCATCCTATAACAATAAAACAAAATAATTAATTTAATACATACATCTCATTCTTACAGAAATCTCGAGTTAAATTTATAATATTCTAATATTTATGAAATAATACTATGTTTGATGAAATTATGAAATTTTTTCATCTTATAGAAATACACTAAAAATTGAACCACACGATTTATAATGGACCAAGAAAAAGTGCTACATTGTTAACTACTTTATATCAATGAAGAATCATATTAAGTGTACAAGGATATAAATACAGCCTAAAATTTTAAAAGAAATTTTAATTATAATTTTTTTTAGCGTGTTAAAAAAATAATAATTGGAAAAATTTACCAAATGATAAATAAAAACCTCATTCTTTACCTCAATAAAAATAATTCGTATTTAAATAAAAAAATACCAATTTTGTTTCGTTAGAAATTACAAGAACTATGTTATTTGCCGTTACATTAATATTATACAAGAAGACGTGTGGCCTTCTTCGTGAAGCCAATAAGGATGTTTAACTATTAGTTGCTGGTCGCGTAGCTGACTAGTATTTATCAGAATTATACTTCCTAGTAAAGTTTCGATTTAGATTATTTTTATTTTAATACGTTTGTAATACGATGTATTAGTGATAATATAATTAATTATAAATGAATTTTTGAATTACATGACATGTCTAAAAAGGTTATGTGAAACTTTAATTATAAGGAATATTTAGCTTAAAAAGTAATTGAAAAATGAAACATTTCTAATATGCTAGTTCAAAAATAAATGAAACCTACGCTAGTGACTTTTATTATTTAATACTTATGAAATATTAATTTTATGATTTAAATTAATATATTTTTGTTATAAACTATTTAATTAACTATGAATTTGAATATTAACTCTGGCGCAAAGTTTAGAACGTTTCCAGACACGTATAAAGAAAACTAAAGGTATTGTTCTATCCATAAACATAGGAGTTGTAATGTAAAATATATCTATAAGAAACAAACAATTGAAGGTGGGTATACTGTCTTTGCTTTCAAAGAACGCTCTTGTTTAATGATCAGGTTTAAATTAACTACTTACATTTCGAAAAGTAGCTATTCACTGGCGTAATCATAGGAGGGATATGAGTGTCATATACTCATGACAAAAATAATTATATGGCAAAGATGCAATTTCAATTTTTTTTTTTTTTTTTTTGAGGAAAAGTAAAAATTTTTTTTATGTAAATCTCCTCAAGACTACATTCTAATTATGCCACTATAGCTATTATACTAGTTATTATTATTATTTTTTAATTTATAAACACAATCGATTTACTCACTGTAGTTCCTGGAATAGCAGCACTAACAAACAGGGCTAACGTATCTGGCCAAGGAAGTAATCTGTATTGCTCCCACCATCGTTTTACTACTAAGCCTACGTAAAAGCTCATAGCAAATGTCAAAGGAACACTTGCTGAATGACCTGCTAAATAGCTGCGAACTTTGATAAATAATCTGTTTTCAAAAAATATATATGTTATGATTGATTGTAAAAATATTCCTATATTTACATAATGTTTTACATGATGCTATTTAATATGTGAAATTTCATTTAAACTATAAGTAATATAGAATTAGATAATAAACAATTTTTAAACGGAGTGTGAAATAAAAACATAAGATGATGTGTTTTTTAAACAGTTAACCTTGGAAAAGAGGCCATTAAACTTTAAATTATTTAAGTTTACTTTTTACAAAATAAAATTGTTGCAACGTACTTTTGTTGAGTTTCCGTGAATGCAAACCTGTAAGCCAGATTTATGGCAAAGTATACCATTAAATAAGCAGCTAACTCTCTCCATACTAACTTGTACACACTCCCGCGCCATCTGAAAATACAATTTTTTAAAGCTATTATCTGAATTTACTATCCAATAATTGATAATTATCAATATACATAAACAAAAGGATTACCACCAAAATAAAAAAACTATTGAAAGCTTTCAACTAATTTTGAGTTTTATATTATTTTTGTAGATAAATATTTTAATTTTGAAAAATTATTATTTAAAAAGGAAATAACATTATTAATAAAACTATAATATATACATATATATTGTGCTTTGGTGTTATTTAATAGAAGGCCGTCATTTCATTTTCTTTTACGAACATTTAAACAACTTTTAAATCATTAGATACTAAATATTTTAGAATTAGTACTAGGTTACAAAAAATTCGTTGACTTTTTTTTGCAAATAATTAAGACTGATAGGAATAATTTCCGTGTATCACTGAATCAAGACAGATAATTTCTCATTCTATCGTATACTAAATGCCTTTGATTTAATTCTAATGGTTGCGTGATTTTATTTTAATTCCCTACCCAGGCAAGTGTGTATATTCTATAGAAACTAAAATCATGAATTTTGATTCGGTAATGAATACCAATGCTGTAAATCATCATTACATTAATATAGTTAGGGAAATTCATAGAGTATAACTTTAAGCTATTTGTGTAAAATATAATGTCGATTAAGTAACTCCATTTGACTCTACCTATGTTTGACACGCCTTATATAATAATGAGATACAATAAGTATAGATATTTAGACTATTTGTATTAACTATTTTAACTTTCTTCAGAAAGTATCGCATAACATAGGAAACAACGGTTTAAAATGCAAGGTCTTATGACTCATATGATAAACAACATCATATATTTCATTACAGGATTTGAACTATATTATTTTTGACGGGAGTCAAGTTTTCACACTAACCGGATTTAACATTTAAATTTAAATACTGATCGTAATACACTAGCAATTTTAATACTTATTATTGTTACTATGATAGTCGAATACTATGAATGGAGCTACCCGTTCATTCTATTCATATCATTATCAAATACTTCAATATTTTAAATTATTGTTCCTACTTTATAGACTATAAAAACTCAAATAAAGAAATTCATAAACAGAAAGCAATAAAATTTTAATTTATTATGTTTGCACCCGCTATTTTATTTTTTTGCGACCATTCCTAGCTAAGTATAACAATATGATATATATGAAACACACAATAAATAAGTTTTTTAATAATAAATTACCTCAAGAAATAATATCCATTTTTTTTAAATTACTTAAGATGATTTGAATTAAGGATATTATAATCGTGATACAATCGTATTCTATAAAGAATGTTCATCTGAAAATACTGTATTGATGTTATTTAAAAAATATTAAATTAATAATAATTTATACTTCATAATCATTATTGGACAATCCATAAATATTTTAATGTTATTACTCAAAGTTTCTTTAATATTTTAATAATCTATTTGTAATATCATTGCATTCAAGATACATATTTTGAAAACATTTTTATGAATTTTATAAAACAGATAATAAAAGAATATTTAAATTAAAATAATTTATTTTTTATAATCTATGTTGGACAGAGTTGCCAATCAAAAAAATATATAAATCTTACAATAATTCTACAATTATTGTATAATTCGTTAAATATATCGTACATATTTTATCTCTTTTGTGATAAGAAATTACACATGATATATTTAGACAATAGTTAGCTATTGTGATAAACGTGCTGATTATAATAGATTNTTAGCTATATTGATAAACGTGCTGATTATAATAGATATTTATTTATTAATACATCTATTCATTTATTTGTTATAGCAAATCTTAGTTATCTATGATTACAGGTTACTCATTAAAAGAATTATATCTCCCAATTTTTTTATCGTCCCCAAAAAATGAAGGGCGAAGTACTCCAAATAAATTATATAGCATTGTACTTTAGCTTTTATACGTAATTGTACAGTAATTAATAATCTAGTGAATCTAATACTAACGAAAAATAATACTACCTTAAACTGTCAAACTAAACGTGATTTCTTAAAAACTTAAATTAGATAAATAATCTATGAATTACCAGTTTTGAACGCTGATAGCTAACGAGAACCTATGAGGTTTTAGGGGTTGTATTAGCAAATTAGAGAATTATCGTATTTTATCGTACGATACTGAATTGTTATCGTACAGATGCTTTAAAATATCGTATGTATACGATAGTTATCGTAAAAATAGCTACACTGATGTTACATAGTCTAAGAGTAATATGGTTTTATTATTTTTAGTTGATTGTATCCTAATTCTGTCAACTCAAAAGCATATTTGAGGAAAATAGGGGTTTTAATTCTCGTATGAAAATAATTACGTGTTAAAAATATATATTATTTCGATAATAAACATTTTTCTTAGATAAACCAACCTAGAATAAGGTTTTACAACCCCCTTGAATTAAAATAAAATTCTTATATATAACCTTCTATAAAATTATCCTGGGCATGATATTACATCTAATATATGTGTGTATGGAAAATAAAAGAATACCCTTTAATTACCCGTCAATAGACGAATTGATTTTAAATATTTTGTTGTTATCAAAACAAGTTATTAATTTTATTTAAAATAATTGTTTAAGTTATTTGACTTTTTTATTATTTAGTAAGAGATTTAAAAGAGTATATAGACATTAATTATAAATACAAATAAACATATACTTATAGAATATGTAGTCACACTGTGTAGTAAAACCTGAATCAATTGATTACAATTTTATTAAAAAAAAATAATCGTGTAAACTTCTTTTAGTTCAAATTTTGTAAAAGAAGTGTATATTTCAGTGATTGTCCTTTAGTAATATATATTTACTACTATTTAAAAGAAAACTTAAAATACAATAGATAAATTATTAATTTCAATGATAAATATCATGTAATATGAATATTGTTATATATGCCGATAATTATCATTGTAGAAATTGACACCATACTAACATCTGAAAAATATGTAAAATACATAATGTGGTAAATATTTTTACTAATTACGTAAATAATTAATTTTAAAAAGATAAAATAGGTTATTTACTTCTTGTATAAAATTATTAATAATATTGATTGTATAATAATAAATTGCATCATATTATTAAAATTATACAAATTTATATTTTAATAATCAAGAAAAAAACTTTTAATTTAGAGTATTTAGTTGAAATGAGTGGTGGTTACCATCTAAGTTGAAATAAAAAAAAATAAAAAATGTATAAAAATATTTTCTTTCAATATGACAATTAAACATTAAATATTATAAGTAAGATCATAAAATTTTGAAATCCATTAAAAAAAATTCTTAATATTTTAAATAATAAGATACTTAAAATAATTAATATTTTAAAAGTTAAAACATATTTTAAATTAAACATTTTTAATACAATTATAGAATCCAAAAATAAATATTATGTCATTTGGTCACTTATGCCTATTGCAAATGATGTACAAGATAAACAAAAATTGCTCTAAACAACTGCTACAACTACTACCTAATCCAACCAAGAGTTTTAAAATGATTATAATATATTTCCAATATCAGATGATGAATAATTAGATAATTTAAAACACATCTTATCTAACAATGCCTTATATGATTGAGTTGTAATTTTTATTCAAAATTATATCTATATATTCATATTTAATATTTTTATTATATATTTATTAATTTTGTATAGAACCCACCTCTTGGTTTTATACATATATATATACATCGAAATAGAATAAAATATGGTATTTTTAATATTAGATTACGCTAAAACTATATTTTTTATTATATGTTTCTATAAATAAAAATTTTTTTCAACATAGCCAATTTTTAGAATTCTCAAAAAATCTTTAAAAAGCTGATAATAATTTTAGGACAAGTATTTATTTTAATACATAGAATGGGTATGTATTGCAGACAAAATGTGAATTATAAATATACACCAGTATGTACTGTACGAATTCTCACTTGATACTCATTCTATGTATTAAAACGCTTGTAACTAATAAGTGCTTATCCTTATTTTTATTTATTGATCCATTGAAAATTTTTGTAATAAAAACTGTTACAGAAAAATTATAATTGTATCAAAAGTAATTGGATTTTAATTGGTTTTTAGAGTAGCATATAACTAATAAATATGCTATATTGTACATTTACACTAGTTTTAAGAACAATAAATGTTTATTTAACAAAACGATTTCACGTTCTTTACTTCTTTTTAAGTTATATTTTATAAGTATTATAAATATTTTATTTATTTATTTTAGAAGTTGTTGGTCTTTCATCTTTCAATGCTACTTTTTTAAAAGATGTTGAAATTGTAGCTATTATTTGGTTATTAAAAGCAAATAAAAGGTTAAAAACTCCTGCAACTGCATTTAACATCTAAAACCCAATTGATTCTATTTTATGTATATGGCAAAGTTGGGCACATGTATATTTTACAGTGTATTTTAATGTTATCAATAATTTTAATACAATTATAAATGAGTTTTTTAATTATTTTTAAATTTGTTGAGGATTAAAATAATCTAAATAAAATTTGTTAATTTTATTTTATATTTTATTATTCTACCTATATTATTTAAAAAGTATGTAACGAATATTCATATCAATTTTATATGAATATTCCATCAATATATTATTTTACGACTCTTTATTTTGAATATTATTATAACATTCTATAATTAATTATCATTTTAATGATTAAATTATCACTTAATGAATATGTATTTGAAACTATTAATAACATATTGAATATTTATAGAATGAGTATAAGCGAATCGTTTAGCTATTTTTGGACATTTTTAGAAATAGAAGCAAAATAGAAGCAGAATTGAAACAAAGAAGTTTCACTTCAAAATATTATATAATTTTTTATACCATGCTCCATAGAATATTTTTTTTGTATACTAAAAATGCTTTTCAAAATTATTTTATTGTTTTATAAAAAAAATAGAAAAATACGGCTGAATGGTAGAAGTAAG